TGGGATGGAGGCGGGGAGCTTCCTTCCGGGTGCTGGGACCAGCTGAGCTTCTCTGCCCTAGGAGCCTGGGATGGAGGCGGGAAGCTTCCTTCCAGGTGCTGGGACCGGCTGAGCTTCTCTGCCCTAGAAGCCTGGGATGGAGGCAGGGAGCTTCCTTCCTGGTGCTGGGCACAAGTGTCCATCTTGTGAGAGTTCTTTTACTAGCATGTATAGCAGTCACTCAAGTGCAGGAGATGAGGTCAACCTTTTGAGAACAGGAATAACCCTGCATTAAAATTAACCTCATGTTCCACAGGAACCAACATCTCTGTTGTAAACTTTTCAGGGTGTCTCCAAGGCACACTAGAAGAGCCATTATATTCAGAAAATGCAAAGCCACAACTTCCTATAAAGTGATTGTGATTCAGTCCAGAGACAGTGCGGAATCCCTTTATCATAAATGGTGTTGCCTAGCAACATAACTGACATACTACCTTGTCTAGTCAGTAGGGGAACAGAACTAAAGAATTAACCACATGTAGAAAGGAAAAAATATTTTATTAAATCTTTATCTATAGCAACATGAGATTACAATAGATGACAGTAGTGTAGAGATACCAAGAAATGGGAAACATGATTGTAAATGTCTAGATTATACCTGGCCAAAGTATCAGTCCAATTAATTACAAATAGGGAAGCAAATTCTCTGAATATTTGTTTTTTTACTTATCCTTGCATGAAATCCAGCAAAGTAAGGGTGAAGGCAGAGATGATGATGTATGGGTGGTATGAAAGGGTAAAATTCATGTAAGCATCTTAAGTCCTCAGTGGCATCTTGGTAGTAGGTGTAGGAAGTAAAAGTGCAAATATGAGAACAAAAGCCAATATATTTCAAAAGGAAAAATTGAATAGACTATGAGGAATAGGTAGACTGAATAAGAAGTAAAAGTATACTTATGGTATAGTGAAGGAATAAATTGTTTTCCTTCAAAGGAGCAAAAATGCATATGCAACTAACTTTTGGTTTAAACCTGTATAAGTAGCCATTTATAGATGATATGAGTTTAGATATGAAATAAATTTAAAATGGGGTTTGAGTTTTAAATAGTAACCATTGGGATATGATTGTACCCAATTTTAATATGAGGATTTCTATACTATATCTGTTCCACCTATCTGTTGAAATTGATGTATCATGACTTTTATACTTTCTTCAAGATCTTTCAATGAACAAGAAATTTTAAATAAAATAGAATAAAATCATTCTATTTTGCAATTACAATATGAGTTCATTGGACTCATAAATCTCAGATATATTATGGTTCTTCAGTGATCTAATTTTTCCTGTTTCTTGAAACATTTTGCTACCTCATCACTCGAAGACTTATTTTAACAATTATTTCCAAATGTACTAAAATGATTAAAAAATAAGAAAAGCAGAAGACGATGGGATTGCCTGGAATATTGATGTACTAATAAAATTAGGTCATCACCATCCTGTTATTCTTTAGTTTTTTTATTGTATTACTCAAAATATCACATCATTTAAGAAGTGTGGAAAGTCTGGAGACAGTCTGTGTAGATCTTTTTTGTGGTGGTTGTAACATTCATTGAGCAAAGGTAAAAATTCTGAACTTTTTATTTTCTACCATAATGGCAGAGAGAATAATTGACAGAGAAAACTTTACAGTTATTAGACAAATTAGAAGATGAATGCAGAGAGCTAGATAGAAGCACAGTAAGCTACAATGATATGGGTAAAAGTAATCATATAATTGAAAGCTCAAGCCTGAGTCCTTGAGTAATGATACTGTAAATTTTCTCAGAACTCCTGAATTGATGAGTGAACAATGTATATTTAAGGGCAAAAGAAAAGAAACAGGCATTCTTCAGCAAGACTTTTTCATATAGTGTGTCTTAGTTACTTTTCTTGTCTCCCGCCAAGATACAATACCTAACACCCACGAGTTAAAGGAGGAAAGGTTTATTTTAGCTCACTATTTGTAGAGGGCTCCATCCATAGTCAGCTGGCTTCAAGGCAGGGCATGGCAGTAGAGAAACAGTCCATGGGTAGGCAGGAGGCAAGTAACAGCAAAGCAGGAGCCTTCCTTATTTAATTCTCTTTTTATTCCATCCAGGCACTCAGGTAAATCACCTAGGCTAGTGGCACTCACACCTAGGGTGGATCTTCTGTCTTCAGTAAATCCATTCAGCCACACCCAGAACTACAGTGAACCCTTGACTTATGAACTCAGTTCTTTCGAGAAGGCTGGTTGTAACTCAGGTTGGTCAGTGAAGGCTCAGGCTCTTCTACACTGCCTTCAAAGTCTCTCTCCTGTATACAGCAGATCTCAGTGTCCTTAGAGAGACATTGGCCCAGGATTTCTAAATTAACCACACACAGGAAACGATGTTGTAGTATTCCTTCCAGAACTCTTTAAGGGTTAAACTGTATCTGAGACCATCTGGAAGCAAAATCGTCTGGCATTTGGGTCATAACTCAAGACTTAGGTCACAAGTTAAAACTAAAATTCCAGTCATAACCCAAGTTGTTTGTATGTCAGGCCAGTCGTAACTCGAGAGTCCATTGTATGCCAAAACATTCTGGTAACTGGAGGGTCCATTGTATGCCAAACCATTCCAGTATCACACACTTATGACCCAGCCACCTCCCAAAAGCCACACCTATGAGCATATGAGGCTTTGAGGGGACATCTAGATATAAACCGTAACACAGTGTTTTCCAACAAGAATTTAGACCATCCGTTTTTGCTAACAATTTGTAATGAGATTCTTTCATCTTTTATGGTGTTTATTTAACCAAAATTTGTCTTGTGCTATTTATATGTAAGAGGAGAAATGCTGAAAGTGATAGGAATATGAGGGTGATTAAAAGGAAATAGGAGCTGGGAATTTAGCTCAGTGGTTTCGCCGCCTGTGGCATAAGCGCAAGGACCCGAGTTCGATCCCCGGTACCCCCCCAAAAAAGGAACTAGATAATGCAGAAGTGGAAAAATTTGTGGGATTTACCATTGTAATTGGTGTTTATAAATCTAAAATAGGAAATTTTTTAATTAAGAGGCAAGGGAACTATCCTCTTTAAAAGTTATGAGCCATCAGTAATTTCAGTATGTTGCTTTTTGACAACAAATGCAAAAAGTGGAACCAGAGTAGATAAATTAGAACTTGTTAGAAATGTTTTTTTGAAATTTAGAATCAGTATTTAGAAGATCAGTATGTTTCAGGTTCATTAATGATTGTTGATGAGAAGTTAGTTACATTCAAAGAATATTGTCCATTTCGTATATAAGAATCTTCAAATCCAGGAATAGTTTTGGATTAAAATTAAAATTTCTAACAAAGTTTTTCACAGTTTGTTCATTTGTCTGTAAATAATTTGTAAAAATGATGTAAAAGATTCAAGTTTTGTTGGTTGTAGAGTATATGTCATGGTGTCTGCTTTCCTTGTTACAATAAGGGTTAGGAGAAGCACAAGAGAAGAAGTAGACTGTTCTCTTAGAGTTGTCCAAAGAAGAGAAGGAAGTATTAAATGGAAGTATTACATTTGTCTTAACTTCTCGGTGTGTACTGTTTAGTCAGTGATTTTATAAATGTTTACTTTCTGCTTTTCGAATCAACTTGTAAACAAAGCACGAAAAGGTTAATTTTGACTACAGAACAAGGTGTTAAATGATATTAAATTAGAGCAGTCAAAAGAAAAAGTAGGTAATGGAAATTAAGGAGTAGAAGCGCCAGAAGAAATGATGGTGTGAAGGGGAGGGGTGCTTACATCCTTATCTGTAGTGGAGTCAAGATGTGATACTTAGAATGGCACAAAGTAATATGTAAATTTTTGGTTGTTAAATTACAAAAGGAAATAGTGAATTTTACAAATGTGGTAGAATACATATGCTGCAAAATTCACTAAAGTGCATAGTTCAGTGGAATTAAGACCTTAATTCACAATGTTTTACATTTATTATCTCCAAAGGAAACCCTGTGCACATAAGGTGGTCACTGTCTCTTCCTCCCTTTCCCCAGTGCCTGGAAACCACTAATCTGCTTTTTGTCTCTTGGGATTTGGTTGTTCTAAATGTTTCACATGAATGGAATCATACACAGTACTATGTGTTCTTGTGTCTGGTTTCCTTTACTTAATGATTTCAAGGATCACCTGTGTTGGAGCATGTATTAGTACCTGATTTCTTTTTATGGCTAATATTCCATTGTATAGATATCACAGCTTTCCATTTAGCAGTTGATGGATATTTTGCACACTTCTCTCCTTTGGCCATTGTGAATAGTGCTACTACAAACATTCATGGACAACTCCCTTCCTCCCTGTTACTCTTTATCCCTCCCTTCTTCTTTTCCTTCCTCTTTCCTCTCTCTTCCTCCCTCCCTTTTTCCTTTCTTCCCTCCTCACCTTCCTTCTCTTCCTTCCTCTCTTCCTCTCTCCCTCCTTCTGTTCTTTCCATCCTCCCTCCCTTTTTTTCCTACAGTGTTGGATTGAACTCAGGGCCTCACACATGGCTATGAAAATGCTCTATTACTCAGCTGTATCCCCAGCTCTACAGGTTTTTATTTTAACATCTGTTCTTACCCATAATTATAAGTGAAGAAACTAAACTATACAGGTAGATTAATAAGTATCTAATAGCCAAAGTCACATGAGTAAAAGGCGACGAAGTTAGGTATGATATGAAACAAGGCAATATGATGTCAAAACATCATATTTAAACATTTTGCTTAACCTAGCACCTACTAGGTGTTCAATAAATCAGCTTTACCTTTAGAAATCAGTTTTGGGAGTTGAGTATTTTGCATTTTATTAGTCTTTAAATAATATACAATTCAAATTATTGCTATGGTTACTGTTTAACTTACATTTTAATACTGTGTATGTGTTCATTATAGTTTGGCTGTAGCAGCAATTCCTGAAGGTCTTCCCATTGTGGTCACAGTGACATTAGCCCTTGGTGTTATGAGAATGGTGAAGAAAAGGGCTATTGTGAAAAAACTACCTATTGTTGAAACTCTGGGTAGGTGTGTTGTTGAGAACGTACTTATGCAATGACACTTCAGTTCCTATCAGCAGTGAGTCATCTTCAGATTGTACAGTTTTTGTCCTAAAGAGGTTTATACAGTGGTTTTTGGTGTTGGGCATGGTTTTACAAATAACCAAAAAAGGCAATTAAAAGCTCATGTCTCTGAGAAGAAGTATTTATCCATTATAGAATGTTCTGATGGTTAAATCTTAAAAAATCCATACACTACATGAAATATTGGAATAAAATTAATAGAATGTTTTTCTTTTGACATTAGTTGATAATTATAGATCCCAAAACGTCATACTCAAGTTGAATTTGCTTATAAGAACAGTAAATGTATAGTAGTTGTCTTGCTGTAACATAACCTTATCCATGATATCCTGTGAAACTTTTTTTAAAAAAACTTACACTATCCATAAATATATTAAATTTAAATTCTAGTTTGCATTTTAATATTGAAAAGATAAAATACCTTGGAAAATCCTGACTGAAGGACTTATGTGGGTTTATATATAGGAATCCTTCAAACTTTATAGAAAATATATTCTACAGAATCAGGCTAAAATGGAATAGCTCCGTTGAAACTAAAGAAAATGTGAACATCTAATTTTAATTTTTAATTTCAGAAATTTAATATGATGAAAGCATAATATGAGAAATTAATCTAAAATTATCAATTATTGGTCTCTATAAAATTTGGAGAATAGGACAGGATTCCAGTCTTTATTTTTATGTCAACCTATTATTTCTCCCTGATTGTTTTTGGTGATAATGATTTATCCTTTAGGATGCTGTAATGTGATTTGTTCAGATAAAACTGGAACACTGACGAAGAATGAAATGACTGTTACTCACATATTTACTTCAGATGGTCTGCATGCTGAGGTATTCTATAGCATTTTTGTTAAAATAGTGTTTAACATTTCTAACCATTCCAATCTTTAGTTTCACACTTGATCTTAGCCAAAAAACTGAGAAGCAATCCAGTGTTTTGGTTTCAAAAGGATTGTAAATTTGCAGCAGAGTTATTTCCATCCCACGTGACTCTATTGAGTCTTTGTCTCACTCTGCTTGTGTACTTGCTCATTTCAGAACGTTTGATTCCTTTTTGATACCTCTGTTTCAGTCACCCCTACATCCATTCACCACCAAACCCCCTAGTTTTGACCTTCTAAATAACTTTCCTAGCCATCTCTTTCTTAGCCAGCTTCCCTAGTCCATGTTACTGTAATCTCTCACTTGGCCTCCTGATATGGCCTCTTGACTAGTCACTCTTATCTGTTCTCACTTTATGCAGTTTGTGGAATTTTTTTTTTTTAACAGTGAAAATTTGAGCATGCCAGTCCTTCAGTTAAAATGCTTCAACCCCCCCGCCCCCCCCGTTTTTGCTTACTCTAGAGAAAATATACTGGCTTTACAGTTCTGTCTTCATGACAAAATTCCTCCTAGCACTCTTGTCACTGCTTAAGATAGTCTGATGATCTCTTTATCTTTTGCTCATCAATTTCAGCCCATCTTCAGAGAAGCTTTGTTGACTACTCAGAACTGGTGGTATATGCTATATGTTGTCATAGCATTCCATAGCTCTTATCCTAGATGAAATTTTCTGTCCCTCTTTCCTGTTATGGTGCTTTGTAAGAAGAGGAACTGTGTTGATGAACAAAGAGACAACATCATAGTAGTAAACATTTGAATGAATAATCCACTTTATTTTTAAAATTATATATTGACAATCTCAGTATATCTGTTCAGAACAATAAATCTGTTCAGTGGTTCTTCCTGAAGTTGTTTAGGGACGAGTTCCAGTCCTTCTCGTCTTTGCAAGATTTTGACTGGAATGTTCTTAATCTTATGATTGAGTATAGTATCTTTAAATATATTTACATCTAATTAACTGAGCAGAATCAATATTAGACAAATTGACAGAAGTTGCATTTATGTTTATTTTGATCCATTTTACATAAGCCTTAAAATGATATTGTTGATATTTAGGGTGTTAGTTTGGTAAAGGATACCCAAAGCTATGTTTATGAATGTGTCCTTTCAGAAGGTGTGTTAAGGTTACATGTGCTTATGTGGTCCAGGTATGGAAGGTAGTATATTAATTTCTCTTTTGTAGTCCATCATTTTATATGTCAAGTATTGACTATTGCTTATTTTCTATTAAATGTTTTTCTTTTAGACAAATATTGCTGCTTTTGTAGGAATATACTTTTTTTTTTGGTACCGGGGATTGAACTCAGGACCTTGTGCTTGTGAGGCAGGTGCTGGTGTCACTGAGCAAAATCCCTGACCCTCTAGGAATACACTTAAATGCCATAATGTAGAAAATGAAAGGAGTATAACTCAGAATAGTTTTTCATTTTTACAAGTTTTGTCTACTCTTTATAGTATTGATCCCACTTTCTGTTCCCTAGGTTACTGGAGTTGGCTATAATCAGTTTGGGGAAGTGATTGTTGATGGTGATGTTGTTCATGGATTCTACAACCCAGACGTTAGCAGAATTGTGGAAGTAAGTACTTTATTCTCCAAGACGGTAACTTTCTTCACAGTGACCGAAGACACCGTGATGGGTTCATAGATTGTGTGTGTTTTACTTAGGCGGGCTGTGTATGCAATGATGCTGTGATTCGGAACAACACTCTAATGGGGAAGCCTACAGAAGGAGCTTTAATTGCTCTTGCCATGAAGGTATGTGCCTGGTTGCTTTCCTTGGCATTATCTTACAACAGACTATGTGCAGCCATTAATTCCAGCATTACTAGATTTTAGGTATTAAGGGAAAAAAACTCAAAATATTTCATTGTTTTTACTTTTGGAAAACAGTTTTATTCTTAGAAATCAGAGCTATTTCAATATAACCTTATTCCTTCCATGCAAGGTACAAATTAATGATCATTGATGGATTTTTTTCTTAGGAAGAAATGTTCTTGTCTTCCATAATATTGAGATCTGCATGTGAAAAGTCTTATAAATGTGTTCTGTTGCTGATAAATACTAAATTTTAAATGGTTATGTGCTTGTTTTGGCAGCACGTGTACTAAATGAGTAAAAGGCACTGTTCACTATTTCCATGTAAAGATACTAATGCAGTTATGAGAATCACCTTTTTCTCATCTACCTTTTGCCTCCTTTATCTCAAAATGAGTGTCACATTAAAATTTGTGTTGGGAGAAGGAAGTGTTTTCAGTGACCTTTTCATCTGTCTCAGTTGATCTTATAGCTTAAGTCCTATATTTGTTTTTGTTTTTCAGTTTTTATTTTTCATTAGTACATGTTTTCAGAACATAATGATTACATTCCTCTTGGGGAGTTTGTACATGTACATAACACACCTTTATTCTTTTTTCAGCCCCCCATATCTTTTGGACCCCTTCATATTTGCAAAAGATCTAGCTCCCTATTTTATATTATCTGTCTTTTATTTTACTCTTTATTTATATTTTAGGTTTTTCATATAAGAGAAACCATGTGATATTTAAGCTTGGGTGTCTGGTTTACTTCATTTAACATTTGTGTTAGTGAGAAACATGGATGTCCACTCTGCTCTGTTCAGAAGAAAATAACTGTGCCTACTTTTGGGAACAGTTTGAGAAAACTAAGACTTGTGTGAAGTAAGATACATCTAAATGAGATTACTGGAAATAAAATCAATATAAAATTATAGGTTATTAAAATAATTTGATAAAATTTATAGTTTAAAAATATAAATGTTTATTTTCTTTTCTTTATCACTTGATGTGCTTGTAGCTAAAAAAACAGTGTAGCTTTTATTATAATTATTATTATTGTTTTTGGTACCGGGGATCAGACTTGGGACTTTGCGTAGCTTTTAAAAATATACTCAAACAGTGAATGAGATATCAAATACTTTCTCTGTTACGCTTCAGATATAGTAGTACCTAATTTGATTCTTTCCATGATTCTGGTCTCAATCTAACCAGAACAAATCAAATTCAATGGTTAGGGTCAATGTAGACCTTATGGGGAAATTTGATTTGGTTCTCGTCCAGTTGGGTTTGTGACCAGAGTTGTGGAGAGAATTGAGTTCATGAACTGAGGTAACACTCTAGCTTCTTAGATAAAGTGTGAATCCACTTCTTTATGGGCAGAGACTTGCATTTTAGGTAGAGAGTTAATACTAACATTCTTGTAACAGGTGAAAGGCAGGGCAGGATATTATATCTCAAATGTTGAGCCACACTTAAGGACAATGCAGATTCAGAGATGGAGCTGAGCTTTAAAGAATAGGAAGGGTTTGGATCAGGTAAAGTAGGGAAGCACAGAGGAATAAGCATAGGATGGATTGTGGTTAATCTGGATAACGAGGATTGTTAAATACTGTAGGCTGTATTTGGTGGGTTTCAATAGGACCTTTGAATGCCAAGGAGAGTCCGAACCTACTGCAAACAAAAACCAAGAAGCTGTAGATTTTTGAAAAATATTTTTTGTAAATATTCTGTAAAAAATATTTTGTAAAAATATTTTCTGGCACTTGTAAGAAGATTCAAAGGGCATTGTGAGGGAGGACAGCTATGTGACTAGGTGTAGTCAGGATATAAAGTGAATAGGAGTAGATTCAAGTTTATAAGTGTGGAATTGAATCTGAAACTTGTGCTGATTGTAAAAGTTCATGCTCAGTATTGGTTCAGTACCTTTCTTTATTTGTATCCTGTTTCTTTCCAGGATTTGAGCTGGTAGGTTAATATAGTCAGTATTAAAGGCTTTGTTTATACACAGTTCAGGTAATATAACTTAGACTATGTCTACACACCCAGGCTTTTTTATTGAAAACATAAGCTGCTGTATATAGATGGAGTATTGGCTATTCTTTCACCATTAATTGAAAAATAATTCAGGCATTTATATTCCACTAAGCTATAAGCTGTGACCTTTTTTAATCTGTTAAAGGGAAAAAAAATCATCGTGTGATGGTTCATATTAACTTAGTTTTCTGCCTTATAGATGGGTCTTGATGGACTTCAGCAAGACTATATCAGAAAAGCTGAATACCCTTTTAGCTCAGAGCAAAAGTGGATGGCTGTTAAATGTGTACACCGAACACAGCAGGTATCTTTTTTTTCAAAAAATATTGTACTTATATCCTGTTCACCTTAGGTGCCTAGTTTTTCCACTTACTCTCCAACATTAAATAATCACTGTACATAATAAAGTATGCTTTAAAGTATGTCCATTAATAGTGCACTCATGTCATGTTATTTGCATGTTCTCTTTGATGCTTTTTCTTACAGAATCCATGCGTAGATATATTTAGTTTTGCTGTGAACAAGACAACTTAAGTTTGTAGCATAGCTTGTGACATTAGGTTCTCTCAGTGTGTTTTTTATTCTTGCGGACAGTTGGTTACCCCTCTGTTGATTGTATTGTCAGTCTGTGTTCTTTAACTGAAAGAATGTCTTAATTTCAGAACAAATGAAACCACATTGTTTTGTTTAAAAATGTTTCCCAAATACTGTATATGTAGTCCGTGTTGATTGATCCAGTTTACAAACACAAAGTGACATGCACTGACATTTCAAGCTACCATCTTGTTCCTGGGGACTTTAGAAATTTTTACTGTTTGTTTAATGAGTTCTGAATTATCCACAGTATATAGTTATATCATTCCTAGTTACTGTTACCTGGTTAATACTTAAATTTCCTAATCCCTCTCTTTATACTCTTTGCTTCAAACACTCCTATCCCATTGGCAGTTCTTGGAAATGTGTTCTCCACTATAATAACTTTTAAAAACTTAAATATTCACTGTATTTTTGAACACAAGAAATAACAGTTTTTTGATGGGTCTATCTCACCCTTTATAAACCACTACACAATACCACAAGATTCCGTGTCTCGTGTAATAATAAACAATTTGAATTTTTAGCAGTCTTTAATGCAATTTCATAAAAGTTGTGCACGGAAGATCTCAGTTGCAGGAGTGGTGGACAGGGAGTGGCAGGATACACGTTTGGAAATAGTTATGTGATTCTTCTTCCCATTTCCCAACCCAAAGAGTTCTTTCTACATATGAAACCAACCAATGAAACAAACAGATAAAATACAAAGCATGGATGTGACTCAGGATATGAAAGAGGTCAGCCTGACACAGATAAGGCAAACTTGCCAATTTAAAAATAACTCCATAGCTCAAATAGTTTGTTCTTAGAGGACTTTTATTTGAATATAACACTACACTTTTACCTCCTCTCTCTCTCTGGATCCAGCCCAAATCACAAGGAATAAGAGATAACTCATAAGTACTTTTGAAGGCAGAAAGCAATACACAAGAATTCTAAATGAGGAACCAATAGAACTCCCCGCAGTACCTTTTGTTTTTTTTTTAGGCCAGACCATTCACTTTTCCTTACCTTTGTGGAATGTCAGAAATCTGATCTGAGAATAAGAGTAAGAAGGCAGGATTCAAGCTTAAGACTGAAAGCAGAATGATTAAGGATAAGTCATTTTCCTCAAGAATAAGATTCTAAGCCTTAACTCCAGATGTCTCTTAGAACATGTGTTTACAAGCATTTCTATACCTTCATTGTCTGCATCAAAATATTTAAGAATTTTAGAAAAGCTTACTGGGAGTTCTCAACAGTAAGGACATCTCAATCAAGCCTTATGTTTGTTGGAAGATTTTAGCTATTGCTGGGCTTCATTTTATCACTTAATAGCAAATCTACCAGTCAGTTAGCTCTGCCAATACCCATGGAGTTTTTAGTTTTCTAATTATTTTACTCTTGAATGTAAATGGAAAGCCAGGGATCGTTAGAAACTTGAAGAAAGTCTTCAGTATGGGGGGAGAAAAAAGGAACAAACTAACAGATGGGGATCTCAGAGAAACAAAGTTAATGCCAGATACTAAAGAAAGTTTTCAGGGACTATAAAAACATGACAACAAAATACTTTCCATAGAATATTTACCAAATAAGGAATCTGTCAGAAAGAGGTAGACAGTATAAGAGATAGGGTACGCGCTGGGCATGGTCTCACATGCCTGTAACTCTAGCACTCTGAGAGACTGAGGCAGATGGATCACAAGTAATAAGACTGTCTCAAAATTTTAAAAAGAGGAGTGGGTTGGGGATGTGGCTTAGTGTGAAGGTCCCATGTTTAATCCTTAGAACCTGGGTTGGAGGAGGGATGAGGAGAAAAGGTTTAAGAATTAAAGCAGCTTCTTTATATTTTTCTACTTTAATAGTGACATTGGAAGATAAGTGAGCAAAACCTTCAAAATGACAGCAAGTTTATTCCTAGCTAAACTTAAATAAAAATGTGGAGATAAAATAAAACTGTATCCCATACTACACACTCTTTTGTTTGTTAAAGAAAGATACTAGTAGATAATAAAGCAAAAGAAAGGCTTAGAATCCAGTGAGGATAACAATGAGGGGAAGTTCCTGATATATAGGTATAGCAGGTGTAAAAACCAGCCAACTCGTATTAGAGAAGGAAAAGAAAAGACTGAAGGAGAGGTTTCCAAAAAAAAAAAAAAAATGTGGGTGTGATAGCATACCTGGTCATTTGATCATATGAAAATTATCACAAGAAGGATTTTATATCACACTGGAGTTGGGGAAGAATGAGAGGTATAAATAAAACTAATCCAGTAGAAAAGGCAGTTTTACTTGCTACAAAATAAAGGTAGTTTATTATTACACAAGGCAAAACCTGAGCAGGAGGTCATTGAGGATGGACCATGGAAATAATAGCATGTCCTGCTGCTTTCCTGCCCCCAGAATAGCTGCTCACTGTAGTTACCTGGGAACCCTGCCATATGAACCTCAGTGTATACCTACGCAGTTGTAGCAGTGATACAAAAGTAGCAACTTAAGCACTGGCCCTTACATTTCCTTTGGGAAGTGACACAAATATTTCTTACTTGGGAGAACTGTGGTACGGTAGGGAAATACATTTCTACTGCAAGGAAAAGTAAGATGTTTGTACACTACTGTGGTCATTAACACCACTTGGCTCAACAAGGAGGAATCATAGTTAAAAAGGATAGTGACAGATCTTGGGGAGAGGGAGAAAATTATAGAACTTTATTCAAAGACATTAAAAGGCCTAAATAAGTGAAGAGCTACCATATTAATTTCCCAGAAGACTGAACATTCTGACAGTGATAGGCTCATCAAATTAATCAGTAAATTCAATACAAATACAGTAAAAAATTTCAACATGTTTTATTTGAATTAGAGTCATCAATCTAATTTTAGAAATTGTTTGGAAGAGCAAATGAGTATAATAGCCAAGATACTCCTAAAGAAGAAAAATTTGATGGTAATGTTGGAAGTGGGACTGATCAGTGTCATGATCAGATATGGTGGCATCTTGGTTTTAATCAAGACCTATTTTTTTTCTAAAGTTGAAATAATTAGGATTGTATAGTACTGTCACAAGGTTAGACAAATTGACCAGAGTCAGGTAGATGTCATCAACAGAACTACAATTACACAGAAACTGGACTTAGCAAAAAGCAAGTGTTACAGATCATTGGGGAGAAGATGAACCTTTCAGTAAATGCCAAGAGAACTACTACTTATCCGTAAATAAAGCATCAAGTTGAATTTCTATCTCTTACTTTTCATGAAAACAGTGCAGGGAAAACTAAAGAGAAATGTAAAAAGCAAAACTATAAAACTTTTGTAAGGCAGTAAAGAATATCGTTTGATTTGGAGTAGGAAGTGATCTTTCCTTCAAGCCAACTTTATACAGCTTTATAAGATCCTTATCAAAAACAATTACTTCTAGTAAGTTGTGGGAAACAACCTATAACATTTTACAACTCACAAACTCCTTCCCCTAAAAGTCATGTAAAAGTTAACAAAACCTTTTGTTGCAGTTTTGAATGGGAAAAGTTTTAAGAGATGTTGGACCTGTCACAGGAGGCACATAAGAGCTCATCAAAGGCTAACTCATAACCTGGAGAAAATGAACTAAAACCTGCAGGATTCTCAGCAGGATGGTCCGCACTCTGAGGACAGGAGTCTTGTCTCTTTTGAGTGAAACTGTGTAGATGTCAAGACTAGAAAGCCTGAGTGTGATTGATGCAGTTGATGTAGGGATGCCAAGGCCACATCAAGATACTTGGTTTAACATGGTCAAGTCTATGCTGATGGTATCAGGGAAGAAGAAAATATGAAGTTTTGTTCTTGCACCCTGTAAGGCTTCTGTGCCAAAGTGGCTAATACATGTGTCTGTCAGAGAATCTTTCCTTAGAGCCAAGAACCAAATACCAGAATGGGAAATTCTGGTTTCCCCTTTCAATTCAGCTTGGAAGATACAATCTATTAGTGGTATTTTTCCTTTCCATAAAAGACAGCAAAGTGTCTTATATGAGCAAACATAACTTTAAAGATACCAAAACTCTACATTTTTATAAAACTTGATTTAAAAAAAACTTAATTTAAAATAACAGGATTTCAACTAGAACTATCAAAAATATACCCTGCATTTGGCATCCCAAGTGCCTTCCATTTTCTGTGACTGGACTGAGAAGCATCTGGTTTTTTCAGGATTGTTCCCATTCTTGCCAGCATCTCCTTGCCCCTTTTTCCTTTGAGCAGCTTCTCTCCTTTCTTTTCAGCCTTTTTAGGCCTGGACTATGGTTTTGGAGGGGCAGGCTTAGCAGACAACTATGCCAATGCCCTCTTTCCAATGTAATCTTTCATTTTTATCTCCTTTTGCCTTTCTCTTGGGCATGGTGGCAGCAGTGCATGGCAAGTGGCTTGCCAGTCCATGTGGTTCTTCTCTCTTCCTCACTTTGCTGGGGAAGAGTTCATAACCCTTCCATCTCACTCCAGAACGTATTTCTCAGCCTCTCTTGGTGTGGGAGTACTCAGTCAGTTTCCTGGATTTAGTCATCTTTAAGTTCCATCCCTTGTAGCCTGTACCAAGTTGTGCGGATGGGGGCATGATTTCCGTGTCAGAAGTCGGTATAAAAAGTACTAATGTATTGAAGGAGAAAGTCCAGGATACCTGAATCTGTTAGGAGATTTGACAGGACTTATTTCCCACAAAAGGATTCAATTGACCCAATTAATTTGGAAGTATATCATGTGTCAGGAAGTTCAAAGCCAAACACCAGGGTGTGAGTCTTGATTTTAAACAGAAGCTGCCAGTGACTTTACTCAGATTTCTGTAGTGGCCATGCATGGGGCCTTCCTGTCCGCATGGAACCTGCAATCTCTTGGACTCCAACTTACGGATTTGGCCTTTCCTGGGACTCCCACCCAGAGCTCAGGAGAGATAATGCAGCAATTCTGGAAATGTGGAGCCAAGGCAACCCCCTCATGATCAGGGCAACACTGCAGATGGGTTCTAGGCACATGGAGGGGAGGATCCAACTCCAGCCCCCATTTCCTACCTGAGTCATATGGCACAAGAAGGGGAGGGGTGACCCTGTGCCATGCGATTGCCCTTGGTCTGGACAGGGCTGCATAGAGCCCAGGACAATGAAAGCCACAGAGCTGACACAGCTGGAATCCAGAATACTGACAAGCTTTGCTTTAACTATATCATAAAGATTATGAGAGGGGGAGTAGGTCACAATAAGCAGTGTTTAAAATCGTCAGTTGAAGGATTAGCAGTATAAATATGTTAAAAACATGGGAGTAACATGGCAACAGGTAATACAGTTAAAATTGATTTGTCTCTATGAACTATAGGACTAGAGATGAGAAGAATTGGGTAGAATTTTTCATAGTAAGCTTTTGAATATTACCTTTTGTTTGGTTGTATTTTGTGTGTATGTGCACTGGGGATTGAACCCAGGGCATTGCCCAGTTACTCAGTGGTTGTGAGAATTAAATAAGACCGTAGAGAAGTAGAGGTACATACAGATATATAGATAGTAGTGAATAAGAAACATGAAACATTGCTTATGGGCTGAAGTTAGATCTTTCCTTTCCTTGTTACATTGAGATGAGCCTCTTCCCAAATCTCAGAGTACCTAATTCATGGTTGAGTGTAGCACTGCCTTCAGTGTGTGGGCATGTGGGGCATTTCTATTTTCTGTAGAAGGCCCAGAATGCTCCCCATAGGAATTTTTGATCATCAGAGTTCAAGTGCCACTGAGAAACTTCGCTGGGGATCATAAGAAATACATATCACTTGTTTTTGGACTCCAATAGCAGATATATACAAAGTGAAGTTAAACTTACATTTGGTGTATTTTTCTTCTTAGGACAGACCAGAGATTTGTTTTATGAAGGGTGCCTATGAACAGGTGATTAAGTACTGTACTACATACCATAGCAAAGGACAGACCTTGACCATTACACAGCAGCAGAGAGATCTGTACCAGCAAGAGAAGGCACGCATGGGCTCAGCAGGACTCAGAGGTAAGGTCATGTCAGCATAGTCCCTGGGGTCGAAAGCAGTAGCCTTTTAATTACAGATGAATTCATGTTTCACATCTAAACTGTCTGCCTCCAAGTCTAGGCTTTGTAGAAATCTTGCGATTTCTGAAGTGTCGGTGCTTTAGTTGGCTAACTGATGCTCAAAAACCGAAAAGCCAAGAATGACACAAAATAAAAACTCTGGTTCTTACAGACTCTGTTTGTCTCTGGATCTCTGAGTAGGTGGTAGAAATTTTATTTTAAACAAGTTTATTTCATGAGAAAGAAAATGGATCAAAGTAAAATTGTGTTATCCATTCCTAATTTTGTCACTTTGTCTTAGTAGTTAATAGAATTAATTTCCTAAAAATGGAAGTCTTCAGCTTCTAATTTGTCCTTTAAGGCAAGGTGATTGCCACCTTGATCCTCATCTGCTGTCCTTCTTTCTTTTGCTGTTCACCAGGAGGGTAAAGAAGTGCCTAGAAACTGCTTTCAGTGGTGGCAAACTTATGGCATGTGTGTTGTTTTTCTTTTAAGACAAAAGATGTTGAAGTTTATGAGTTATTTTTTTCTAAACTAAAAGCTCAGTATTCATGTTTAATTGCAGTGTTGGCACTTTACAGTACATAAGTGCATTTTGTGTTGCAGTTTGGCCACTTATCCCTAAAATGTTTGCTATCACTGGCTTGTGTGTATGTTGCTGCCTGGGCAGTTATTGTAAACCCCTGAAATGTTACTGGAAACCTCTGCAGTAGGCTCCAGTCTCTTGCTCAGTATGTGACGCAAGCCTGAGAAAAAAACTAAAAAGACAGAACTAAGAGAGACAGAATACCAGGGAGCCAGGACGGCCAATGGGTAGTGGTCTGTCCAAGCCACTAATTTTTATTAATAATCAGTTGAGGTAAAGGTGAACTACATGCAAGGGCAGGACTATGTGAGAAGATTCACAGTCATGCAGTTTCTATGGAAATTAATGTAAGCAAGGCTCGTAAAGGACAAAACAAAGCATTCTCAAATTAGGAACAGAATAGACAAAATACATGGTTGTAATTAAAACATTGTCCTTCTAGTAAGAAGGTTTTAGTTGTGGGAATGGAATTTGGGTGCAAGTTACTCTGACCTCGGCATGTAGGCTTTGGACTCGCTTCTCAAAATAAGCCAATTGTGGGATAGACTCTTTGCAGCCTGCATTGTTTACAGCCTGCTTTTGGGCATAATCAGTATTGCAGTATCCACAGGCAATGACTGAGAAGAGAGAGGGAAGGAGCCTCTGCTGGATACCACACATCAGACCACTTCTCCTAGGGATGCGTTGTAGGTTTGAGGACAGGGCCATGTTATACCTGCTTCTTACCTTCTGGCTTATGCAAAGTACAGGTAGTTACGTAATCTGTCAAAAAAAATTTTTAAGAGTTGGTTTCCTCTTATAATTTTAATGAAATGGAAGTCAAATACTATATTTCCTAGGGGAAAAGAAAAAGTTATGTGAAAATGTTCTTGTTTGTGGTTCACTTAATTAAGAGCATTCTTTAGATTTAAAACATCTGGTTAGAGTCATAGGACTTCTGCTTTTGCAGTAAGGCTAAATTGTGGACAGAGAATGCTGCCCCCAGCCTGCTGCCATGCTTTATATCCTTCTCTCTCTTAGTGCTCTGCACCAGCCCCCAGGACACCAAGCCAGGGCCACTCCCACGTCTTCCTAGAGCTTGGGGCATCCTACCTGGGGTTGTGGAGTATGCTGTGATCATCCTAAAACCTCACACTCTGTCTCCAAGGAAAAGAGGAGCCTCCCGGCTGAAAATTTGTTTTGTGAATGGATCTATTTTTGTATGAATTTTTTTTGGGGAGGGGGCCACCGGGGATCGAACTCAGGTCCTTGTGCTTGTGAGGCAGGCAGCAGAACCACTGAGCTAAATCCCTGACCTGAAATTTTTTTTTTAAGGAAATAGCTTTTTCTTCTTCTTTTCTCCTCATAAGAGACTTTGGTGGTAGGTTCCAGGGTTTCTAGTTTTCCTCCTACAAGTCTGAATCCTGAACATGGTGCCAGACATCTCCCTTAGCCTTCAGGCTTTCTGGATCCTTCAGACCAGAGTGGATTATCCAAGCATCATTTCTGGGATAGGGGAAACCTCTTCTCTAGTTTAGTTGGGTCAGTTCTAAGAATTGGAACTGTGAGATCAGAGCTTTTTTTTTAAAATACATACATTTATCAAGACAGAACAGATGTGCAGTGCTACCTCGATATTCTGGAGAATTGGATAAAGGAGTTCCCCCACATGTTCTGAATGTGCTATCTTGTGAACTGTGGGCAGACTCAGGTATGTGGTGATCCTAACCATAGGAAGCTTGATCTCTGGCTTAAGGGCCACATCTACCCTCCCTGGCTCATTTCAGTTGCCCTCTCTGGCTAGACTGAAAGAATGGTACTGTTGGTTGGGGGTCGGCCCAGTATTAATAGTTGCTAGAGCAAGGGGTAGTTTAGGAGGCTCTGGGGTCATTGGAGGGAGTCCTTATAGCCAGAAAGAGGGTTTTTGTTGCAAAAGCTTGTGTATGAAGGGCACTGGCAGCTTCTCTGAGCTCTTCCTGGGAAGACTGGTAAAGGGGGCCTGTTGCTTCCCTGGGTTACCTGATTCAGCTGGCTTCGGATATATACAGCTTTGGCTCTTTCATTTTAAATCTACTTTTGCTAAGATACACTTAACTAGAACAGGTGAGGGGAACAAAATGTGAACCTGTTTGCCACACTTCTTGGCCTTCTGACAAGTCATCATTTGCAATTTGTTTCCAGTGGTTAGTGAAGCACTGATGCAGTTAAATAATGAGGTGGAGATAGTTTGGTTACTCTTAGTAGCCCACAGCAAGAGTTTTAGGTTTGGTATGGATTTGGAAACTTAAAGAGGGCTTAAAAGTTCTAGTATATATTCCTAGTCTCCTTAATTTTGGGAATGAAAGTTTTCATACGTTTAAATTTTGACTCTTTTCATCTGAAGGAGTGTGAATTGGTATATGTGTGGTTTTGTGTTGTGAGCTGGTACAAGAGAACATTTTTGTTTCACAGGGTTTTGAGAAACATTCTGGTCCTTTGTTCTTGCCTAATGTCTTTTCTTTATGTTCCTTTTGTGCCCTACTTCCCTCGTTCCCCTGAGAGTCCCACAATGGAAGAACCGACAGATTTTAAATCTCAGTTGATATGTACTTCAGTTGTGTCTTACAAACAAAACTTGTTTATAGCTGGGCATCATTGTGCACGCCTGTGATCCCAGCACTTGGGAGGTTGAGGCAGGAGCATCGCTGTGACTTTGAGGCCAGCCTGAGATACATAGTGAGTTTAAGGTGACCCTGCACTACAAAGCGAGATCCTTTCTCAAAACAAACAAACGAACAAAACAACAATGACAACAAAAAATTATTTCTTAAACGCTTTGGGTCCTTAGTTTTAAAAGTGGAATGTATGTATTGTTTTTTGTCAACAGGCTTGCACATGAAAAATGTTTACCTGCTCTTAAGCTACAAAGTATTAGTAGCTCTTAAGTTGGGCTAAAGATGTGGGCAAATACATGAGGGATACTGACCTGTAGGCCAGTTCCACCCCTCCATTGAGAGTATCCAGAGCGGATCTCTTGTTAGCATTTGCTGACATACAAATTGATATTCACTGCTTCTGTTACCATCTGCCTCTATCCTAGGCCAGGAACTATCCAGGGACTCATTCTATTCAGAGAGAAAGCCTTTGGGGCCCACATCTGCATATCGGAAAAATAGTAGTACCTTCCCTTTAACTTTGTTTTTCCAATTCTCCATACCTTCTGCTTGAATAAGAATAGATATTTTTGGGCTCCCTGGGACATTTAGTCTCTCCATGAGGTATTTATGCTCACTTTGTGTATATCTGTGTATTTTTTGGGTAATTTAAGATATTCAGTCTAAGAATATTACAGATGCATGTGTGTTCCTTTGTTTCAAAAAAAGGGTAGTTAGCATTGGTTCCAGAATTCTGAGGGTAAGCTGATACTTGGAAAATGAACACTACTTTGTACTATATTGTAATTGCCCGGAGATGACAAGAAACTAAAAATAATAATTTTGTGGTGTTATTACTATATTTTTAAAGAAAAAAGCCACACGTAAGAATTTCTAGTTAATGTTATGGAAAGAGTTCAAGAATCCAAACTGGTGTTAATGGTCTTACAACAGTTTTATAGAATAACTTTACCTTTCAGGTTTTTTCATGTATATAGTTGTTACAGGCTATAATTAATTAATTAATTAATGCAGCCTTATCTTTAAGCTATTAAATTTTTCTGGAGACCTATGAAATGAAATGGAAAGATGAAGATGCATTAGAAGCCACCTTCAGAGGTGTCTGTTTAAAATTGACTTTAAAGCTTGACAAACCCATGTTTATGTAAATAATTTGTGTTTCCTAGAATTTCAGTAGTATCTGTGAGAAGTAGCTACGTGTGGTTGCTCTGCAGAAATGGTCTTCATTCTCTCTCACTTGCCCTCTCTGCTTAACGGTTCTTAAGTTTTACTACTTTTAACATTTAATAGCTTTTCAACTAGCCCTTATTTGGAATGATTAAATATAATGTCTTGGCATGTAAAAATTTTGATTTTTAAAGGTTATATAATATTTATGGATGACAATATAATCTTAAGTGGTTTATGATCAACTAAATTCTAATGTTTTTGTGACTCACATTTTCTTTTTTGGATTTCATTATTATTTCCCAAGTTCTTGCTGTGGCTTCTGGTCCTGAACTGGGACAGCTGACATTTCTTGGCTTGGTGGGAATCATTGATCCTCCCAGAACTGGTGTGAAAGAAGCAGTTACAACACTCATTGCCTCAGGAGTATCTATAAAAATGATCACTGGAGATTCACAGGAGACTGCAGTCGCTATTGGTATAACTAGGGTGCTTTGTTCTGTTTTTGATAGTTTTTCTTAAAATATTGCAGTACATAGTTTTACAAGCCATTAGATACGAAGTATGTTTATATAGTGTTGAAATTGTACAATTGATACTTTTTGTTCAGACTCTATATAAAATTGTAGATAAATACTGATTATAGTTTAAAAAGTAATACTGTATTGAAAATATGTAACTGCCATTATGAAATCATAAATGTATTTTATTTAAAAATTAATTATTTTTAACTTCATAATCCACTATACTGATAGGTAAAAGCATCAACTCATGAATGTGAAAGAATACATGAAATTTAGATTTTCATTTCAGCCTAAGCATACATACCTTTCAAAGCAGATTTGTACATAAATAGGAAAAAGGTAGCTTATTGTATATGTTTTCTCATATGTACCTGTGATATTTGAATGCTGTGTAAGAGTACCTTAAGAAGTATAAGGGAAAAAAACCCATGAAAGCTAATTTGTCAGAGCCTGTAAATTATAATTCATACTGATAAGTTTAGCAGTTTGCTGAACTCCGCAAATTCTGATTTTATTAATTTTGACAGGGGCTATACTAGGAGTTCCAGGCTTCATTTTATCTAAGAAAAAACAAAAGACAGAAAACCCCAGACTGATTACAGATGCAGATAGGTGTGTCTTACCAGTAGTTTGTCTTGTGATCTCTTGATTTAACAGATAGTTTATAGTTGAAAAGAAGGTGAATAACAAGTCATTAAATGAAGATATTGTTAGTCAATCCATGAAGCTATTTGGTTAATAACATTTTCTCTGTCTTCACTTTAGCCAGTCGTCTGGGATTATATTCTAAAACCTCCCAGTCGGTCTCAGGAGAAGAAATAGATGCCATGGATGTCCAGCAGCTTTCACAGATAGTACCAAAGGTGGGCTCAGACCAGACCCTTTCAGACAGAGGCCTTTATTCTAAGTGTTAACTATTCCTGCTCTCTTCATAAGACTGTTTATATATGAACAAGTGAGACATAACCACCACTTTAGTTGGTCCAAATTCTGAAGTCTCATTGAAATGAATCTTATTATTTATGGCATGGTCATTATGAATATGCAAAATGGTTAACTTCAGTAAGAACTGACCTCTAAAGAAGGGACTATGACTATAGAAATTTACAGTGCTTGTATTTACAAGTTAGATGAAGAGGATACTATTAATTTCTACTCCTTATCATTTTGTTACATCTTTTAGTATGAGTATATAGGTTTTTAAAAAATTGAGGTGGTATTTACAATAAATTTTGCCTTTTGTAGTTTACTCTTTGGAGTTTTGACAGATGTATGCAATCTTGTAACCATCATTGCAGTAAAGATACAGAACAATTTCATTATCTCCTCTCTCAATTTCTCTTACACTTTTATGGAGCCAACTGCTCCCCTTTCTTCCAGCATTTGGCAGCCACTGACTAATTCATTTTCTTTTCCAAAATGCTTTAGAAATAGATTCAGACAGTATGAGGCTTTAAAACCTGCTTTTTTGACTTAGCATATGCATTTGAGATTTAGCTATATATTGATTGTGTTTATTAGTATTCTTTTTTAAATTGCTGAGTATGGCTATACTTTACTTACCATATGAGTATATGTACTTTACTTGTTCATTGCTCTAAGGACATGTGGATTTTTCCAGTTTTTGCTGATTATGAATAAGGCTACTGTAAACATTTGTGTACCAGTTTTTTCATGGAAACATTTGTGTACCAGTTTTCTTTTCTTTTCTCTTGGTTAAATACCTATAATTGTTTGGTCATATGGTTTTTTAATAAGAAATGGCAAGTTGTTTTACAAAGTAGCTTTGTTATTTTGTACTCTCATCTATAGTGTTTGAAAGTTTTAATTGTTCTGTATCTTTATCAGCATGTAAGATTGTCATTTCTTTCGCCAATTTATACCTAATAGTTGTACAGTGGTATCTTATTGTGGTTTTCATTTGTATTTCCCCTCACAACTAATGATGTTGAATGTTTTTTCATGTGCTTATTTACATTACAGTATTATCTTTAGTGTCTGCTCTGCTAGTGTTTCAGAATTGTATTGTGAGCTTTGTAATATATTTAATACTATATCTCCTTCAATTATTTTATACTCATGTATTAAGATTATGGAATTTTCTTAAATTATTATATTTTAAGGATCATCTTTATATAATACTTTTTTCTGATTAGAAAATTTATTCATCAGTAGTATATGTTCATTATAGAAAAATTGAAAAATACAAGAGTAAGAGCTGCAATGCAAGCTGCTTGTAATAAACCCAGACACTCAGGGTTAGACAGCCATAGAGCATCCAAGATTCTAAAATAAGTTAGCCCATTGTGACTTCTGAAAAATGTGTTTAACAAAACTTAGTCTATACTTTCTAGTGTTATAAGACAACATTCATTTTATGGAACTTTGACATTTCTGAAATCATTAGTTATTATTAGAAAATACTTTTATAGCTGTACAGTATTTTGCTTGTGTATACCACGTGTATATATACACATAAACACAGCATACACATATATTGGTTATATAGACATTTTTTGTTGAAATTTGAGTTTTCATGTATTTCTAGTTCTGTAAATAATACTTTAGGTAGCAACCATTTATTATGTCCAGGCAGTGCATAGTATTTCACACATCTTAATTTACTCCATGTAGCCACTTTATAAAAAATAGGCAGCCTCATTTTTTTTGTTTTGTTTTGTTTTTTTGGTACCGGGGATCGAATTTGGGTCTTTGCGCTTACGTGGCAGGCAGCGAAACCACTGAGCTAAATCCCCGGCCCTAAGCACCTTCATTTTAAAGTTTTTAATAGATTATTTTGTTAGTGTGGTGTTAAGTGTACAGAATAATTGAACAAAGAATAATACCAGCCTCATCTCCACTCTTCACAATTTCTCATTCCATTAGTATAATTAGTTACAGTTGATCAACAAACTTTGATATGTTCCTACTATAGCCCATGTTTATATTTTACCTAGGTTTACTTTTTGTGTTGTATATTTCTAGTGGTTTTGACAAATGCATAATAATACATGTTCATCGTTATGAGTTTATACAGAGTAGTTTTACTGCTGTTAGAAATCTCATGTTTCACTTATTCTTTACCTTTGTTTGAATCCCTGCAGCCATTGACCTTTTTACTCTCTCTCTCTCTCTCTCTCTCTCTCTCTCTCTAGTTTTGCCTTTTATAGAATGTAACATAGTTGGAGTAATACCATATGTCACTTTTCAGACTGGCTTTTTGCCTAAGCAGTGTACATATAAGATTCCAGCATGCCTTTTCCTATTCCATGAGCGTGCCAGTTTGTCACTTCACCTTTTTAAGGACATCTTCATTGTATCCAAGTTTGGCAGTTAGAAATAAATGCTGTAAACATAGGCAGGTTTTTGTGTAGGCATTAAATTTTCTACTCAGTTGGGTAAATAACAAGGAGCACAATGGCAGAATTGGATCATATGTTAAGATTATGTTTAGCGTCATAAGAAACTTGTGACCCAGTTTTTATAGATGAGGAAATTGAAGACCATAGAACTTCGGGGATTTGGTTGATACGTCAGAACTGGTGAGAAGTGGTATTGGCATTCAGATTGGAACTCGTGTTTATATGATTCCAAAAATTCATTATCTATTGTTTGCAGTTTCTTTGAACATCATTATAATGTAAGACTTTGTGCCCGTACTTGATTATTTCTGTAGATAAGTTCCTACATGTGAAATGACCGGACCAGAGATCAGCACATTCATAGGGTCCTAAACAGGTATTGCTGAATTGTCCTCTGAAAAGGTTTCAGTTTATATTTTTACAACTATGCTTAGTATGGTGGTTTTAAGCCCCTAGACCTTTAATGCACTTCCTCCATCCTCTAGTAAGTAGTTAGATTTTGGAGGTAGAAACACACTGTTTTGCTCATCCATGTTTTCTCTTTCTTGGGCTCTAATCACAAATGCTGCTTTCAGAGCATCAAGGGCAGTGTGAGTATTTTCTTAGTTTTGGAGTAAGGGGGAAGGTATTTCCATATTTGAATGGAATTCTGTGTGTGTGCATGTGTGTGTGTGACTTTATCATTATTGTTCATTTCTTTTCTTTCTTTTTTTTTTTTTGGTTCCAGGGATCAAACTCAGGACCTTGCGCTTGCAAGGCAGGCAGCAGCACCAGTGAGCTAAATCCCTGGCCCTCATTATCATTCATTTCTGAAAGAGTAAATCCAATATTGGCTCTCCAGGGGTTTTGGGACAGAGTATATATTACTAAGTGGATGTGAAATCTACAGTTGATTATCCCATTAGACTTTTGTTCAACCTTTTCCCAGATGCTAACAGGTAGTGAAACAGATTTAATATTTCATTTTATTTACTTTTTTCAGTCCACCCTCTAGTTCTCTGACAAAAATGCTAATGAACGCTGGAAAACAGCCTAAAAGTTAGAGAAGGAAGAAGCAAATTACAAATCATGTCATTAGCCTCAACAAATTACATCATCTTTCTTTCCCAGAGGACTAAGAGTGGTTGTACATTGCTTATGGCAGATACTGATGTTATTTCAGAGAATAAAACAAAACATAAGCCTTGTCTGAAACTTATTGGTTAAATTCATTCTGCTCTATAGAGGAATTCCTTAAATACCAAGACTGCCTTAAAAGTATTTCATGTGTTTTGACTAGGTCTTTTCCAAATATTACAGAATATTTTTATTAGCAGGACTGTTTCCTCCCTTCCTGTATCTTTTTCCCACTTCTTGCATTCATATAACTCTCTTAGAACAACATGTATTTTTGGCCTTCTGCTTTTGGTTCAGATTAGTTTGAATAGCTTTAATTAGTGTTTACAAATAAAGCAGAACTTTTGTTCTAAGTCATCAATTCACTGAGGTTGTCCCATATCCTAAAGTCATATTAATTCTATTCCTTATTTAAATATTATGCACCTTTCATTTCATAATTCTGTGGAATATCTTTCAAATCTTTCAACGTTTGCTATGTTCTTTTGACCTAGAGTCACTTAAATGGTAGTATGGAAAGTGAGGTTGTATAATTATTTATTAAATACATCTGGCAATTCTCAGCGTTTTCTTAAAATTTCTTTCCATTTCCTACAATTTTCAGTGATAGGAATGGTTATCCTCTTTCATTCTTTTGTTTTCTGATTTTTACATCATTACATTTGTATTGCCACTGAATCTGTTAATGAAGTCGCCATAATCCCAATTTATATATTTAATTTTCAGGAGGTTGTAAATCTTATTTCAGTCACCTATTTTTCCTATATTGCATCAATTTCCTTTTTATCTGCCTTGGTATATTTGAGGACCTTTGGTAAGTTATTCTAATTCCACAAACACCTGTTTCCTTTACTTCTGTAATATTTTCCTCCTTTTTAAATTTTCTTTCCCTAGTATACCTTATCAGTTAATATTAAAAGAACTGTGAGTGCTGTCCATAAATAAGACACTGAAAAGGACAAGAAAGGAAAAATACGCTGGGAGATTCCTTCTGAAGATAACGTAGCCTTGCTCCCCTCCCTTTGATGGTCATCTTTTGGCCCACCCTCTTTATTCCCTGTGGTTTCTCCTTTTCTGACATAATTCTGCTTCTTGGCCACTGCCTTTCTGTTGGCCTGTCTTCCTATTTTCTTCCTTTCTACTCCCAAACTACAGTGATTGTATTGTATTTAGTCATTGTTTCTCCCTTTTGCCAAGCTAAGAAACGGACATAAAAGTGGGAGGTTTATTATTAAGGGAAATTCAGTTATCTCCAAGCTGAAGTTCTATGAGATAGTGATATAGTTAAAATTCTAGTAATTTCTGGTGTATGTTTGTTTTGGATGTAGTTTCTTTAGGCCATAATTTTGTACCTATTAAACTTCAGTACTTTAACTCAACAAGATTCCGGTGCTTTAAAGAATTGAATTTACTCCATGTGGTGTTATGTACCACAAAAGGCCAAGTGATTATATTGAGATCTGCTTACTCAAAACTCCTGTTTTTGAGATACCATCAAAGCTTTGAAATGCCAAAGACTTAATTAAGTAATTGGTGTACTGGATGCATGCCACATAATTTGCTACTGTGTAAAAGAAATACGGCTTTAGTCCAACAGTTGGTGGCTTGCCATTCTTGATAACACAGAGTGGCTACAAAGGGGAATTTGCAAGGTTCAAAAATTATGTGGAACAAAGGCAGAATGTTAGTCTGTATAAGCTGAGCATTTGTAATCAGCTTATTTAAATATTCTCTGCAACCTTCATGAAGCTTTTACTAAACTCCTGTGTTGCAGTGCTATGTGCTACATGATTAATTTCTATAGGAATTAGAATTTTCACTTAAAAGATTACCAGTAGACTTTGAGTAGCCCAGTATACTTTGAAGCTTACTAATTTTCAAAGATGCAGCTGGGGATTTAGCTCAGTGGTTCCGATGCCTGCCTCATAAGTGCAAGGTCCCAAGTTCGATCCCTGGTACCAAAAAAAAAAAAAACCAAAGATGCACTAAGAGTTTCTGAATGGAGTTTTGAGCAAGTGAGTTATGTGACTCATGGGATCTAGAGGACCCAAGGATGATCAGCAACATATTATATAGTTCATTTGAGTCTTTTTTTTCTGAGAATATAATAATCCCAATTTAGACCTTTATTAAAAAGAGAGAAACTGGGAATAGTCTTTCTGATGGTACAGAGATTTGTTCAGTTGTTTATTCATTCACATAACATGTAATTTTGTACATATATATTGTGGTAGACAGCTTTCTGTTGCTGTGATAAAGTTCCTGAGGAAAGCACCTTAAAAGGAAGACATTTATTTTGTTGTACTGTTTTAGAGGTTTCACTGCCTGGTCACCTGGCCCCAGTCAGTGCTTTTTAATCCTGTGGTGAGGCAGAAACATGGTGGAAGGGTGTAAAGGAAAGCTGCTCACCTTGTGGCAGCCGAGAGAGGGGAAGAACCAGAGAGGAAGAGGCCACAGACAAGATACTAAAGGAAACACTTCAGTGACCTACTTCCTTTACCTAGCTCCCCTTCTACAAATTTTATCATCTCAAATTATGAGTCCATCCCTCATTAGAGCCCTCAGAATCCAGTGACCTTGCAAAAACCCCACCTCTAACATTGCTGCATTGGGGACTAAGCTTGCAACATGTGAGCCTTTTGGGGGACATTTCAGATCTAAGCTATAGCATACAGAGAGGTAAGTGCTAAAGAGCATCTAAACAAGCAGGAAAGGAGGAGATTGAAACTTTAAGATAGCATGACCAGGGAAACCCTCCCTCGAAAGGGCAGGCTGTGTAAGATCTGAGGGAGGAACACTACAGACAGAAACATGAGCAGAGGCCTTGAAGTGAGTGTACCCGGCATGTTTGAAGAACAGTGAGGAAGCCAGTGTAGTTCAGGTGGGAGAAGATTCATGGTGGAAGTGGGTGGGTTGAGGCCTCCATTTCATGTCAAATTTAATAGATAAAGAGTTTTAGGCATTTGTCCGGAGAAAGATACATCATTGGAGGGCTTTGAGCAGAAGATATATGTGATTGGACACCCGTTTTAAGTTTCACTCTGGCCAGTGGGTTGAGAACAGATAGTAAGAGGTAAGAGCAGACATAATGAAAATCAATTTGGAGGGTGAGGACTGAGGTTGCTGGCAATGATTTTGGAGTAAGGTGGTTGAAATCAACAAGATTTGCTTTCGTGACATCAAGAGAAAAGGAAGTTACGGATGGCTCCCAAAATTTGGAGCTGAGCAAGGATGTATTTGCCATTAACATAGGATAGGAAAGAGCAAGATTTGGTGGAAAATAACAAGTGTTCAGTTTGGGATATGTTTAAGTTTGAGAGGAGACAAGATGAAATAGGTAGGTATATTAGTTTTATCAGTTGAATTTCAGAAGAGATGTCTGGGGAGAAGGTAAAATATATGTGGATAAAGTGGAAAGCAGTAAGGCTGGATAAGCTCACCTAAAGCATGTAGGGAGTTCTTAGACCTCTGACAAGGCAAAGTCTAAGAACTTTAGACTTCAGATAGGTCAGGAGAATCCTGCACAAAAGGAACAGCCAGGAAGGCAAGAGAAAGAGCAAGTATTTCAGGACATTAAGTCAGATAAGAGATGACCAGTGGCGTCAGCAATGTGATGGTGGGCAGAAGTCTTGATAGTGTGGAATAGTAGTTTCAGTGCAGCAGTGGTGATAGCAGCCTAATTGGAATGGATTTTGAAGAGAATGGGAGACAGCAAGGAAAGGCAACTTCCTGAGTTTTACTCCAGAAATCCTCCTTCCTCTTAGCAAAATTTTTTCCACGCTGCTGCATCTTTATTGTTGATACTACCCTTTTTAAATGGAAGGACCAATAATATGCCTGTGTACTTATGGTGAAGATTCAGTGGTGAAATATAGGAGAGAGAAGAATTTCAAGACCCCTGATCTTAAATAGGTAAGGAAGGGGACTATTTGACCTGTACTAGAAGTATATTCAGCTCCTTTGCATAGCAAAATAAGAGAAGGATAGTGACTGGATACAGATATTGGTGGTGGGGATTGTGGCACCCCCCCCCCCCACATACACTAGAAATTGACCTCAGGGCCTTCACATTGAGCTACATTCCCAGCCATTTTTTTATTTTTGAGACAAGGACTCTCTAAGTTATATGGGCTTGCCTGGAACTTGTGATCCTCCTGTTTTAGCCTCCTGTGTGCTAGAATTATAGACATGTTGATTCTCTTTTCTCTGAGATAGGAGGGAGATAAGTTTGTTAGCTCATAGTGAGACTAGAGAAAGGAGATAGTTGGCGGTATGAAAAACTAATTGGAATGAATCTTCTGGGAGCTTAGGAGAGAGAATGGTGTATTATATGGGTGTGAAAATTACTATGACCTGAGTATTGTGGAAGAGAGTAACAGGCAGAAATTGCAACCTTTGTGAACTGAGGGTTTTGGAGCTCTCTGGAGCATTGAATGCATGAAGCCAGTGGGAAGTATAAACTCCTGTGACACTTAAAACAGGTCTTATGAAGGGAGAATGGAGAACATATACCACTCCCCCCCCCCCGCCCTCGCTCTCTTGGTGGTACTGTTTGAGAGGGAGGACTATAAAGTATGGTGGGGATGTGTGGAAAACCTAGGTTAAGGATACATGCATACTTATGTTTATAGTAGCACAGTTCACAATAGTCAGACTGTGGAAGCAGCTAAGATGTACAGTACCAAACAGATGGACAAAGAGAATGTGGTATATTTATACAGTAGATTATTATTCAGCCATAAAGAAGAATAAATTTGAGTCATTTGTAGGAAAATGGATGGACTTGACACCCTAATGTGAAATAAGTTAGACACAGATAGTTAATTATCATATGTCTTTTCTTATAAAAGAAACCCAAAATACAAGGATTAAAACGGGAGAGATGATAGGAAGCAGGGATATTGATCTTGGAGATGGGGAAGGAGAGTGGGAAAAGAGAGACAGGGAGAAAGTATGAAGGGGGATAGGATATTGATAATGATCAGCATGATATGTGTAGGTAACACTTTCCTAAAATGAATGTAATTACTATGTATCACAAACACGTACCGATTAAATAAAAAAAGAGTTGAGCATATGGGAGATTTTGTTGGTAGCTGACTGTGGGGCACAGTGAAAAGGTTTCAAGAAACCAAGAGATGGGGTCAGGAAAAGGGATTAAATATATGGTTTGGAGAAAGATTATTTAGGCAGTTTTAAACATACAGTGGAAGACAGGTTGACTGCATTATCCTACGTAAAAAAGGGTGAGTAGACGCTGCACACTGTAAAAAGTGGCTCCATAGACATTGACAAGCAGATGCTCTTTATTTGCCCTAGTATACCTGAGTCACAGGGAAATAAGTACAGGAGAAGTTTTCCTTTTTCATCCCTGGAATACTCTGAAACAATAGCTATTTTATCTTCACAGTTTAAACCTAGTGATGTACATTGAACAATTTGTTTAGATTGTGTCTTGCCTAGGATACTTTTGGTAAGGATTGAAGTGACTGTCATTTTAGTATGACAAACATGTTATATTGATTAAGTTTGATCTTTATGACAAATTAAATACAGCTCAAGTTGAAAAGTAAAATTGTTATAAATGCATGAATTATTATGACATTTCCTAACACTGAAGGTCTTTAATATATCCTGTATTTTAACAGGTTGCGGTATTTTACAGAGCTAGCCCAAGACACAAGATGAAAATTATTAAGGTAAGTGTCTCAAAATCAGATTGTTATATTTCTCTATACAAAAATGCTGCTACTTTGGCTTCTGTTATGTTGCATTACAAGGAGTATTGATAAAGCATCAAAGTCAGAAGTATTATGATACAAAACAGGCATTTTTTTTTTTTTTTTTTGGTACTGGGGATTGAACTCAGGACCTTATGCTTTAGAGGTAGGCACGGTGCCACTGAGCTAAATCCCTGGCCCAAAACAGACATTTTTTAAGAAAGGTATTGCCATGGAAAAACTAATAGAAATTTAACTGGCATTGGAAGAAATAGAAGGAAAGTTTGTGAAATAAGTTGAATATGAGGGGCTGGGGATTTAGCGCAGTGGTTTCATCGCCTGCTTCGAAAGCGCAAGGTCCCGAGTTCGATCCCTGGTACCAAAAAAAAAAAAGTTGAATATGAAATAACTTTTTAAAGTTAGTGTAGAAGTATGTTCTGATAGGGTTCCACTGCTAAGTCATCCCAATGTGAATAATGATAATAAATTAGAAACAAATACAACAACAAAAAAAAGTACTAATGAGAGTGTGAGCAATATTTAAAGGCTATAATTACTAAGATTAGTCAAATATAGCCATTTGTTGTTTAATAGCAGGAGTATGTTTGTTAGGTGATGTTTTATTTTGTTCTTTTGTTTGAGACAAGGTCTTGCTATGTAATTGAGGGTGGCCTCGAATTCACTATGTAGCTAAGGCTGGCCTCAAATTTCCTCCCTCAGCCTCCTGAGTGCTCAGATTACAGGCCTGTGCCACCACACCCAGCTCATTAGGTGTTTGTTTTTTCATTGTGTGAACATCATGCCTGTACTTAACCTAGGTGGTATCTGTCAGTCACTCCATGGAGTCTCTTGATGAAATCAAGAGGTGTCTAAACATAAGATGTGTGATGTTGCTGCTGCTGTGACACAGTAGTACTGTTTTATGGTAAACTTTCTTGGTAGGAGTATACTAAAATAATGGTAAAACTGCAGCAAAGACCTAAACCAGTTGTAATCATTTCTTGTCATCAAATTGAACATAATGGTATGGGCTGTATTTTTACATAGTCAGCAGCACAGTAGGTTTGTTCACATCAGCATTACCATAGACATGTGAGTAAAGTGGTCATCGTTACATAGCAATGACTGTGTATTAGAGCAACTGATGTAGTATCCAATAGTGAATGGGCTTAGGTTATTAATTACAAAAGCCAGCCATTGTACAGTTCAGAGTTTCTCAGTCTTGGCACTGTTGGCGTTTTGGACTAGACAGTTCCTTTGTGTGAGGGGTGGTCCTATGTATTATTCTAGGCAGGTAGCCGCATTCTTGGTCCCTACTCATTAGATACCAATGGCATCTCCCAAGTCAAGATAATAAAAAATGTCTCCCAATACTGTTAAAAGTCCCCTGGGAGACAAAATTGCCGCTGGTTGAGAATCATTGTATATTCAGCTATATATCAGACTTCAGACATACACTTTGCATGGATGAGAATATTAGTAGCAACTTTTTGTAAGGTTTATCTTGCTATAATCTCTGTATGCCAGGTGTAGTGGTAAACACCTAATCCCAGCTACTTGGGAGGCTGAGGTAGGAGTGTCCCATATTTGAGTTCAGCTTGGGCAGTTTAGTGAGACCCTGTCTCAAAATAAAAAGTAAAAAGGCTGAGGATCTAGCTCAGTGTTGTCTGCTTACCTACCTGGATTCAGTCCCCTAGAGAGAGCTCCTTATATGGAAGTTTATTAAAAAATGGGTGGTCTATATTATTTTAATCTTAATTATGTGAAAAAATAAGGAAATTTTTTTTATCCCATTATTGATGTGGAAGCAAGATTTTTATCACAATTTCTCTCTCCACCCTCTTCTCTTGTCTTACTTCAGTCTCTACAGAAGAACGGGGCAGTTGTAGCCATGACAGGAGATGGAGTAAATGACGCAGTTGCTCTGAAGGCTGCAGACATTGGAGTTGCAATGGGCCAGACTGGCACAGATGTTTGCAAGGAGGCAGCAGACATGATCCTGGTAGATGATGACTTCCAAACCATAATGTAAGTTTTGTTGCAGTGAATGCATATTAGAGATTCTTCTCATGTCCTTTGCTAGATGTTACCCCCAGATAATTCAACTGAAAAAGAGTCAGTTGTATTTAAACACTGGGCAAATAAAGCCATGTTTCTAGATTAATTAATCTTGTTTTATAGCCTATGTGTAGTTCTGCAGAAAATAATTTATATGGATGCAATCAATATAATACATAGCAGGGCTGTTCATTTAAGAAATGTTTACTAAGTGCCAGCTGACGTCACATTTTTTTGGTCATTAGTATGATAGTTAACAGTGACCCTTCATTGGGGGCCTTTATGTTAGTTAAGTTCAGGTTATCAGAATGTGCATGACTTTACAGTAAGAAAAATCATCTGGTTCACATTCATACCTTTATCCCTCTCCATTATTAGAGCTGTATAAAAATCTTGGAAGGGAGGAAGAAGTTTTTTGAAAAATAAATATTTTCCTGTATTCAGTCAAGTGGTTGAGAGAATTGATATAAATATTTATAAACCATATCATTTAATTACTCTATATCATATTATCTACTTGTATATGGGAGCAATAGGTAGTTTAAATTCCATAATTCTTATATATCTCATTGCTGTTTAATTTTTTTGTGAGATATAATAATTAAACTAAGAAAAATGAACTTTGAGGGTTAAAGAAGGTGCTTATAGTGAGACATGCCTGTAATCCCAGCTACTCAAGAGGATTAGGTAAGAGGATTGCAAGTTAGGGCCCAACATTGGCAATTTAGTGAGATCCTGTCTCAAAAAATAAAATTTGAAAAGCAGGTGTGGTGGTAGTGGTTTATGTGGTAGAACATTGGCTTAGCGTTCACAAGACTCTGGATTCAATCACCAGGACTGCGCCACTGCCCCCTCGCCCCCAAGTGTTGTCTTTTGTATAGAGAGACAGTATGTGATATTAATGTTCAGATATCTTTTTAAGAATAAGAATTAAAATTCTTTTTAATTATATGTATGTGGTTTTCTCATTCCATCTTTATTTTTAAAATTTCAGGTCAGCAATTGAAGAGGGTAAAGGGATTTATAACAACATTAAAAATTTTGTTAGATTTCAGCTGAGCACGTAAGTTTGCAAGAAGTTTGTCACTATGGGTCTCGTAGATAAGTTTTGTAAAGTAGCTTTAGCAGAATGCAGAAACTGAAGAGTTATTAGTAAGTTTTCTAAAAAGAAAATGGCATTGTGGGGTTAAAAAGTGGCATGAAAACAGATTCTAAATGTGATAAGTAAATTGTCTATATCATTATCAAAATATATAGTCAGCCCTCTATCTGAGGGTTCCACATCTGTGGGTTCAATTGTTGATTAAAAATATTGGGAAAAAATTTGCATGTGTACTGAACAAGTATAGACTTTCTTACCTGTCTTTATTCCTGAAACAATGCAGTGTACCAACTATTTATGTAGCATTTACGTTATGTTAGGTATGATAAATAACCTAGAGATGACTTAAAGTGTAAAAGAGCATATGTATAGGTTATATACAAATACTGTGGCGTTTTATGTAAGCAACTGGAAATTTGGTATTCTAGGGGGAGTCCTAGAACTAAACCCTGTGGATACTGAGGGACTATATAACTCTTGGGATTTATTTAATAGCTTCTGAAATCTTTAGAGGAGGATGGGCCACATCTCAGTATTCTTCTGGTATCCCTTTCCAAAAAATAGAAGGGATTTTCTATCATCAAAAAACAATTAAATGTTGTTATATAGATTTTAAAAATTTTCCTCTTTGCTATTGGTAATCTTGAAAATCTTTTGTTAAAATACTCTGCGCTTTAAAATGTTCACGTGATTGAAACATTAGTTACTTGGATGGTAGGTTTCCTTTTAAAAGCATAGTAGTAACATGAGACTTTTAAGTGCTCCAAAAATGTTACCATAGGATCAATAGGAAATTTATTATGCTAGCAGATTTTTAAATGACTTTCTTTTTCAACAGGAGTATAGCAGCATTAACTTTAATATCATTGGCTACATTAATGAACTTTCCTAATCCTCTCAATGCAATGCAGATTTTGTGGATCAATATTATTATGGATGGACCCCCAGCTCAGAGGTAAGTTTTTTCATGCATGAACTGGTAAGACAAGGAAGATATGAAACCCTGATAATTAAGTTTTAAAGCTTTATTATGGACAGTGTTGGAAAATATTGCAGCAGCATGTTTGTTATAAATTGTGTAATATGTGTATATCATTTATTTTCTTGACTGTTCATTCACGAAGTGCGGATCTGAGCCATTACATTGTGTTACATGCCTAGCTTTTGGTTGAGAACAGATCAGGGAGTAGGTGCAGTCCCTCCTTGTCCTTAGGATGTAAGTTTTTTATTTCTAAAATTTGTATGTAATGGAGAAAATTCTTGAGCTTAGCATTATTACATAGGTTATATTACCGAGTTTAGAAGTGTTCAAATGTTTATAAAGTTTTGAAGGACCTGAGTGTCTATTATATTTTGTAGTAATGGGATAGTTGAAGTAAATTTATATGCAAATTAAATTGAAGTTTTCTCTTAAAGTTGACCATTAATTGCCTGTCAAACTGTGCTAATAAGTCTAAAAGAGGAGAGAAACAGTGACAAAATCAGTGGCTTTTCTCAATCAATATCTCCCCCGCTCCCCTGGAGAAAATAGCCACATCTGTCATGCCAAACAGTAGTTTATTCTGAGTAATCATAGCCAAAGTTTCATGATTAAACATTTTTTTTTCATAAGAAAGGATTTACTTTGCTTCGATAATTGAAGTTAGGTTGTGAAAGTAACAAATACAAACTTTAACACTAAATTCATATTTCTGTTTGCTTTAAAGCCTTGGAGTAGAACCAGTGGATAAAGACGTCATTCGTAAACCTCCTCGCAACTGGAAGGACAGCATTTTGACTAAAAATTTGATACTTAAAATACTTGTTTCATCAATAATCATTGTTTGTGGGACTTTGTTTGTCTTCTGGCGTGAGGTATATTCACTGGATAAGCAGCTATATTATGATGCATTTATATGATAGGAATTTTAGTTATTTTTATGTGTTACACAGGAGAGTGGAAAGTTAAGAAAGCTCTGAGTGAAAATATGATACAGTCATTTTAAGGTTTGATTTCAGTCTTCTTGGGCTGATAGAATTGTTGATTTGTGACTTAAAGTTATTAAATCTGCAGAGTATTATCACATATAATAAAATTTAATACATAAAAATGTTAATAGTTAGAAAAAAATCTCAGTCCTTAAGTGGCTACTTTATTGTTATTGGTAATAGTGTTTTAGTATTCAGTATAAGGTTCATAAGAATTTTTACATTTCATTATGTAGACTACAGTTGTTCACTAGGTGACTTATAGGAAATTTAGGTAGCTTGTATATTTTACCTCTTAGACTAAAGCTATTTCATTGTAATGGAAGAAAAATATTAACATTTTAACAGCATTTAATTCAGCCGCTGAAAGGTTTTTTTTTTCCTTTTGACAGCTGCGAGACAATGTGATAACACCTAGAGACACTACGATGACCTTCACGTGCTTTGTATTTTTTGATATGTTTAATGCATTGAGTTCCAGATCTCAGGTTCGCTTTGCTGATCTCATTTAATTAACCCAAATATGTAGAGCACTTTCTAATAGTCCATAGGCAAGCATTACAGGTTGTTAGTTTTGCTTGGGGTTTGTAGCTACAGATGACAGTTCCAGACATAGCCTTCTTGCAAACATGTGTCATTGGTCAACAGTAAGGGTGACCTTATTTGGGTAGATCAGCTTTACCTTTGGCTCAGAGATTAAAGTAAATCACAGGTGATATTGTCTGATCTTTATTCCATTCTCTTATCATGTGTAGCCTATAGGATAGATTCAGGCTAACATTATCTGGACATAGGGACAAGCCTTATGGGCTTTGGATGGAATTAGACTGCTTTTGGAAAAAAGTGTTGTTCTGACAAGAGCACATTTGTTACCCATCACTCCTGTCAGTGTATCCAAGTTTAAGGTATTTTCTTCCCATGTTATAATTTAAAGTGTTAGTGCTTCTTGGTCTAAAAATGTTTTGATAGAGAATCATAACCTAGAATTTAGTAGTTTTTTTAGAGCATATTATTTTTGAAAACTACTTAGATTGGAGGCATGGCTTTCAGTTTTAAAGCACTTTATGACTCCTTAATTATATTTATTACCATTTGCCATACTAGAAGTTTTCACTTATAGTCAGTTATCATTAAGGAGCTGTAATGTTTCTGTTTCATTAAAGACAGTTTTACTCTTTTTGGTAAACACATAGTTAGGTCTATTCTTCAAGAAAGGGTATTAAATTACCTACTTTAATGTATGGACAGAAAAATGAACAAAATATAAAGTATCTTAGGGCCTTTCTGTGGAATCTAGTGCATTTAGCAGGCCTTTTCTTGGTAAAAGTTGCTTTAAAATTTACTCTTATTCCATCTGAATTATTCCAAAATAATAGTTAAAAGTAAGAGATTTCATGGTTTTAACACTGTAGAATTCAGTGGTACATAAGTGATACTGATTATTGAAAAATTGAAAGCAAGAATAATAATGTAAGAAGTTATTTCTGTACTTAAAGAATAATTGTACTCTTTGCTTTGCCAACAGACCAAGTCTGTGTTTGAGATTGGACTCTGCAGTAATAAAATGTTTTGCTATGCAGTTCTTGGATCCATCATGGGACAATTACTAGTTATTTATTTTCCTCCACTTCAGAAGGTTTTTCAGACCGAGAGCTTGAGTATACTGGGTAAAGAGAATGCTGTCTTTATATATTTTAGAGGGTTTAGTTTCTAATGTGTTTGTGCTAATATAAACTTAGGGTAACTAAGTAACCCATGTGACCTGAAAAAAGAATATACTTTATTTTTTTCATTGAGGGAAGTTGAGGGGAATCATTCTCCCTAATTCTACAGTTTTAACTTTTTTTCTTTTTTTGTCAATTATTACAAAATCATATTTGATTTTGAAATAATAGCAAACAATTTGTTGGAGAGTAATTGTGTTTTATAACTTTTTGATACTTTTATTAAAAAGTTACAAGATCTTGAATGATTGAGGGCTAGATTTAACTTCACTGAAATCCAGATTGCTCTTATACTATTTAGGTAGCTAATATTTCACTATTCCTGTTATTCTCAAGACTCATTTCATAAAATATCAGTTGGACCCTGAAAGCATAGTTTTATCAACTTTCTGTGTAAATTACATATTTTTTCAAACATTGCATTAAATGTATAATATTGTACACTTAAAAATTACTTTCCTATTTGTGGTGTGAAGAACAATGTAGTTGATGGGAATCCTGTTCATAATTCTTAGATTTGTTGTTGTTGTTGAGACAAGGTCTGCTTGTATGTAGTTCAGGTTGGCCTTGAACTTGCAGCAGTCCTCCTTCCTCAGCCTCAGAGTGCTGGAATTACAGATGTGCAATACCATGCCCAGCACTTTTTAGATTTTTAAATTAATCTGTGTATTTAGATAATAGCCTCACTAATTTTTTTTTGCTCTGTATTTACTTTAAAATTGAACTAGTTTAATTTCAAAATTTTAATTATATATTTAATCACTTTCTTTTTAAAAATAATAGTTTTAAGGAGACAGTTGAAATTTTCTAACTAATAAGAATTGAGATACTATATACTTGGTAATGATTTAGTCTTCTAGGCTTTGAAGTAGGACATATTGATACAACATTTTTAGTCTCCAGATAACATTTTCAATCAAGTTTGATACTACTTTGTGACTAGTACTTTTAAAAAGGGATGTGTGATCTATTAAATAGAAAACTTTTCTTTTTGTTATTATTGGTAAAAGCTAGCCACATAAGTTTATGTTCCAAAGAAAGTGGTCCTAGGATGTGGGTTCTAATTCTGGCTGTTGATTTTCCTAGCATTGTGACTTTGGATAAACTGTTTAATACCTTTGACCTTCTATTTTTGTATTTTTAACTGAAGGTAATGATATCTCATGAAATAGTTATAAAACAATGTTTTTAAAAACCATGGTAAATTGCTAGAAGAATGTAAACAGTTACACTTTGCGACGATAAATTTCAAAGAATTGTAAAACTCAGCTTATTTTCTTTTGCAGATCTGTTGTTTCTTTTGGGTCTCACCTCTTCAGTATGCATAGTGGCAGAAATTATAAAGAAGGTTGAAAGGAGCAGGGAAAAGATCCAGAAGCCTGTTAGTTCGACATCACCGTCTTTTCTTGAAGTATGATGCATATTGCATTCTTTTATTTGCAAACTAGGAATTGCAGTCTGAGGATCATTTAGAAGGGCAAGTTCAAGAGGATAATGAAGATTTGAGAACTTTTTAACTTTTCATTGATTAAAAATGAACATTTATGTTTAAGACTTGATTTGAGACTTTAACTTGCTGGCAGTCCCAAATGAAATTATGCAACTTTGATAACATATTCCCTGATTTAAATTGGCTTTTGGGATTGAGTGGAACTTTATAAAGCATATGGGCAGTTATTTAATTAAAAAAAAGGCAAAACCTAAACCACCTTCTGCACTTAAAGAGGTCTAACATACAAATACACTGTCTATCTTAGATAGATATAAATAATTTTTTTTATTTTTAAATATTGTACTATTTATGGTGGTGGGGCTTTCTTACTAATACACAAATAAATCTAATCATTTCAAAGGCATTCTGTTTGGTTTAGAAGTTGATTCCCAGAAGTGCTGTATTTCAGCTACTGTATTTCCTTTCTCTTGCAATGTAAGCAGCTTGAATCCCTTGTGCTACCATTTTTGTATTTCATGTTTTTTTTGCACAGGATGTGACCACTGTCGGAGCACTGTTCTTTTCTTTCTTTTTGTGATTGAAAAGCATATACTATAATTTGAAGTAAACATTTGCTTTTCTTAGTAAGTGTAAATGGTTGCTTTTTTTTTTTTTTTTTTTAGGTGTGAGTCTTTGGTCTAGCATAATTAATGCAGGTATATCAAGTACATTTTAGAGCAACAGTGTGTACTTGAATAGTCATAGAGTCAAAGACATTTAAGATTGAGATGAAATTTATAATGTCATGTCTCCTTTTTGAATTAAATACAAATATATACTTTGTCAAATATCTTACTCTTTGTAGATCTAAGTACTTCAACTCAGTAACTAAACTTTATTATTTTTACTCTTTTGTTTTTTAATTTTTAAGCATATTTCTTAGGAAGGGTAAATTACTAAAAGAATGAAAAAGCTCCAAACATAGACAGATGGTGTAGGAGCCAGGGAACACTTGGGGGACCCTGTCAAATCTGGCCTTGTTCTCCTTGTGTCTCCTAGGCAGCTGCTTAGTTCTACAATGGAGCCACTCTAAGTCTGTCCCTTCTGCTTCCACTTTCGTTTCTTACCTTCCTTTGGTTTTAGTGGGCATGCTAAAGAAATAGACAGAATTTCTTTGTGAAATGCCATTGTTTTTTATAAAGCTTTATGAGGTAATTTGTTTTGACTATGTGGCAAATTTGGGCCAGAAATTCAAAATTAGAAATCTATTCTCCTGTTACGTATTTCTCTCATTTTCTCTCCCTCCCTCCCTCTCAGAACAGAAATGGGTCTCAGATTTCTACAGATTTAATTCTTCTTGAAGTTACTTTATTTTATAAACTGTCAGAATAAAGGATTCTTAAGTTTTCATCCAATATGAAATTGCAAGTGTTAGAACTTAAATTCTGTTGTTGATAAGGAGAATACCCATTATTCGAATCCTTACTATAGACATGAGTGAAAGGAGCTGAGACATCCTCACTTTATTCTTCACTCTTTTCAGGTTGAATAGTGAAATGTACATTGTTCTATCTCATTACAGAACATGGACACCATCGTCTTACCAACTTTTTCTGTAATGATTTGATATCTCATACTGAAATTTTGTAATGATTTTTTTTATTCCCTGTTCCAAGAACTTGAAATATGTATTACATGTACAGCAATAGTTTTTGTTTTGCATTTTAGGTTCAGCGTATGAATCATATGGGACAAATGTGCCTATCGTTTTCATTCGGTTTTTGAACTATAAAAATAAAAGTTTCTTTTCACAAGATAATGACCTTCCAGTTAGTACTGTTAGCATTAAAATTATCTGTATGGATGCTAAATATACAGAAATTCCTTGATTTAAAAACAAGTAAAATGCACAGTAAGATCTAGGTTTTAATTTTCCATAGTATATTAATACAAATTGTAATGCTTCAGATGATTTAAATGTAGTAGTGTTTAAATTTTAAATCTTTACCCCCATTTTATAGCTTGCTAGAGTCCCTAATAATACAGTTGGGTTTTTATCCTTATGGACTGTTTCATGATGCTGAATCCATAGTAGCTAAACATCAGAGAAAATAAAGGAACTTGAAATAATTCACCAATTAGGTACTATTCTCAAATGATAAAAACTGGACCATAGAAACAAGGCCAAACATATTGATGGGCATCACATAACCCAGAGATGAAATGAAAAGGAAACCATAGAACCCAAAACATCTCCTCCTTCAAGATCCAGGCTTTCTTTAATGGCATTAACTTCTCTTACAAGAATAAGAGGTGGGTTTTCTTTTCATACCTATCCACGGTGCATCTTACAATTGTAATCTTTCTGAAACTGCTTTAGATTTTGATCTTTTTCCTGTACTACTTAAGTAAAGTATTAGCCATACTTACAGTAGTCTCTCACTGAAATAAATTGGTAGCAGACAATAAACATCATACTTCAGAACTTTCATTTCACCCTGCTTTCTGCTTCTGTCACTTGGCAATTCACATGCAGATTACTTCCATATATGACTCACCTAAGAAGTTAGATGGATGAATTGTCTTTTCATTAAACATTTATTTAATACCAGAGTGTTTTATGAATAGAAAACTCAAGGCATCTTTGTCCTTTAGGAACTCATGAATAGGGATACCAGGTGGCAAGACTTAAGCTATTTCAAGAAAGTTACTAGTGATCTTTACACATTTATTTTAAAAATGCTTATACATTAAAGTGAACACAAAATACATTTCACTAGAATTTTCTCTTGAAGACGATGCTCTTGAAATCCAAATAGCTAATTTGCCTACTAAAATATATGGACAAATATTAATCATAACTGACATATCTGGTGACTGGACAAACAGATTATCCTGATAATTAACCTTCCTTGAGCTCAGTTAGCACTTGGTATGATGTTGACTTTTGTTTGACCATCTTACATTTTAACTTTTGGTTATCAAACTTGCTTATTGTTGATAAGGGATAACATTTAGTAGTACCTTCCCTTTAGGAAGTTCTGTCTTAACTCTGGAGACCAGTGTGAAATACATTCAGTACAGCAGTAAAACTGTCCAAAATGCTACAGTAGCTGAAGGGGAATAATAACTTAGAGGAGATTGTCAAAGAAATTTCCTAGAACTAGTGACATCTGAATCAAGCCTTAAATTAGAAACTTCAGCTATTGAACAGCAAGACATTCCAACTCAGTAGCATAGTTTCCACAGTGTATCAGAACTAAAAAGGAGCATGTGAAAACTAGAGAGGAGTTTGGTCCTTTAAAGCTAGAGGTATAATAGGCAGGGGTGGGGAAATTAGAAAACTGTGAAAGCTTGAATGGTAGAGGGATCATTGAGTAATGGTGCTTGGCATGGAAGAAGAAGGTATGACATTTATCTTTTAAGAGATATCATTGCCATGACAGCAGTACGGGAGAATGCAGAAGATACAGGTTTCTGGCCTTTGACTTAAATAGTAGAACTGTTAATAGGAAAATAACCTAAGCTGAGCAGGCTGTAGTGGCACACAAGCTCATCTGTAATGTGAAGTTCGTGGTGTCCTTGACATTTCCCCCTGGACGTGATAGATGAGATTTTTATAGCACAGAATCAATTAAAGCATGGCTGGCTGACCAGTTAACTAATATGAAAACTATTTCCCTTTACAAGCTGCTTTTTTTGTTGTTTTGTTTTTGACTAAAAGAGTAAATTTAGCTTTGACAATTATTTTTTTTAAGTTTCTATTAATCAGCAAACAATTGTTTAAATTTAAAATGCAGGGGTTAAAGATAAGAACATTGTAAACTCCTTTGTTACAGACCTTTCAGAATAAGTCTGTTTCTAAGGTTATCAACAAGAAAACACATCATTGGTAGCACATTTTTTTGCTATTTGCAGTGAGACACCTGTGAGGTAACTACAATACATGTGTGAACTGCCTATCTGTTGTGCAATGAGTGAACAGTATTATTAGAAAATAGCTATTTGATCTGAACAGTCATTGTGGCAGGAGAGTAGAAAATAATGGTTTTTGTTGTTTGTTTTCCATTTTACTCATAATTCTTTAGACCTTTCCAGCCTCATATCCCATGTAAATGTTTTAGCACAATCCACTTCTAAGTCTTTTTGGAACAGTATTTATTAAGTGTGAAATTCTTTCCCTTTTGCCTTAATTTTGGCAATCGTAATTTTTATCTGTATTTCAAAGCCCAGCTAAATGTCAAATAAGATGGCCTTTCCTGATTGCTCAAAACATGTAGGGACGTGTGTGTGTGTGTAGTAGTAGTAGTAGTAGTAGTAGTAGTAGTAGTACAGTGCCTTGTGAATACTATTAAGAGCAGACACATCTATAAGTTTGAACATAAAAATTACAGCCTTTTTTAGAGAACATTTAAGTCTAAGCCACTTTGTTGATAAATCTAGACAAATTTGATGTAATTTTCTCTTTTTATATAAAATAAATTTAAGTTTTGAAGTTTGGGGAGAAAAGTGAAAACAATTACTTGAGTCAGTAGTTTTGATTCCTAGAAATTCTTTTTTAATATGAACCTGTCAGTGTTACTAAGTACACAATGAATGTATATGATATAATATCAATGGCCTTTTTTTGAACACTTGCTTTGGAGAGTAGCTTTCCTGTTCTTATCCCTTTTTGCTCAATTCCAATCAAACAGACATAGACCCTTTCTGGCCCATGTTTCTGTGCTGGCTCCCTGGAAAGTAGACCTGGCAGAATTTCCTTTCCTGTCTAACCCAAGGTTGACCCATCAGCATTGTTTCTAACACTTTGGGTAGAAACTATATCTCACAGTATTATGAGCATTCAGTGCCAGAAATGGGGTAAATAGGGATCCATTTTTAGGCTCTTATATTTTTAGCTTTTGAATTAAAAATGTGCTATTTAACACAGTTTTGAAAAATACTAATCTATTCAGCCATATTAAAGATACTTATTTATTCTTCCTGTGATAACTTTGTTGAAGTGCACTTTAGTTAAGAAGTGGCAATTTGGTCATAAAGAAAATACTGTGTCTTGACCATTTGTTCTCTTCTATCAAGTCATCATCTTACAAGTATGACATGAAACAAGTTGGTGTGCCAAGTCTGACAAAACTATGTTAGGCCAAGTGTGGTGGCACAACCCTGAAATCCTAGCATTCAGAAAGGCTGACGCAAGAGGAGTGCTATTAGTTTGAGGCCAGTCTGAGCTACGTAGTGAGTTCAGGACAGCCTGGATTCTACATAGTGAGACCCTGTCTCACAAAAACAAGCAAAAAAAAAAAAATTATCTTTGGAGCAACATATAGCAAGCTCCAACTAAATAGGTGACTGTGTGTATAGAAAATGTATGCCTGATAGGAAAGACATGACAGACTTTACACTTAGGTATTGTTAGAGCAATTTTAGGATGTTATAAATTAGTATATTTTCATTCATGTACTTATATTCAATTATATGATTGCATAATAGGATCACATTAGGTTTTACAAGTATCTTTCTAAATGGAACAGTTCTGGATAGCCATTGAATTAGGAAGAGGTGTTAAAAGTTAGGGAAACAGTTTTATTTGAATCACCCTTAGCACACCCACATAGAACTGCTGTTTAGTTTAAGTGTTGACAAATGATGCCATGTAGGACAGATCTGTATGCTGTTTTTGTAAATAAAGTTTTACTGGAACTGAGCTACACACGTTGATTTACGTAATTGTTTCTGTTGCTATTATCCACAACAGTAAAAGTGAGTAGTTGGAATAGAGAACATTTGGCCCCCAAAGCCTATTTACTATCTAGGTCTTTATGGAAAAATTTGCCTACTCATTTCAGTGTTCAGGAAAATGAAAACAAATCTGTACAGTGCATTCACTGGATTGGAAAGGAAGTGACATCATTTTTCCCTACCCTGTAGTCTACCAACAGGATGTTCCCTTTGGAACAGATACACTTGGTAGCAGATTTGATGTCATTTGTCTGCTGTATCAGGGTTCCTGTGTGGAGAGTGTCTCAGAACATCAACAGGGAGGACATGCCAGCTGTGATCAGTCCCAGTCATCACCAAGGCTGGAGCTTGTTGTTAGTGGGTGGAGTGTTGTGATATGCTGTTCTATCTGAATTTATTCCTAATCTTCCCTCCATCTCTTCTTCCTTCATGTCCTCTTCCTTCCTGGTGCCCATCCAAGTTTTCATGCATCTGCTACTGTCTGGTCTATCTACTTCCTCCTACTAAGTTGTACAAGAGAAGTGGAGGCTTCTCACAGAAAAGGCTTAATTTCAGTGAGCTAAAGTATACTGCTTAGAGAAGACAAAATTTAATAATAATAGAAGCTAAAATATCAACACAATTTTAGGGGAAAAATATACTCCAGCTCATTTTCACAGAACATTTTAAACCAAAGTGTATTTTCATAATAATCATATTTCTAAGGTAAATTTATGACAGTATCTCTCAGTGAATTCTTGTTATAGTCCACTGCTAGTTTTCCATGACTTCCTGATTTACAAAACAGATTATGGTTGTAACAGGGTTAATTTCTTTAGCTTGTGTTTTATAAAACAATTTGCATAAGTTTGGGTGCTAGAAAGCCTGTAGTACTTTATAATTGGAAACAAAGGTTTGTGAAGGTCACTATTCCCAGATTTCAATGCCACAGTCTCATCTTACCTTTGATTTTTATCTTTCTTAAGGCAAGGCAAAGAAATACCGGAAGTATGGTCTCTTGATCCTGTCCTTCCCCAAAACTTCAGCTTTTAATGTACATTTCTTTGATTAAAATAGTAAAACATACTCATTGAAGACATTTGTAAATAGAGGAGTAGAGGAGGAAAACATTTCATAATCTCAGTACCCAAAGATCCAGATGTTTTCCGTATGCTCCAGACATTATTGAAGTACCTAAACAGATAAACAGATGTCTCCACTTCAGTGCCTAAAAAGTTTTTTTAACCTAACATACCTACAGCAGAATCTCCAGTTCTCCACTTCCTTATGTCCTGTTCTACACAAATGAATAACAATGGAATAGGAATTGAAAAAAGGGTGCTAGTATATATATGCTATATATATAAAATTATGTACTATAGCAATTTTAGCAGTAATTTATCACCTCATTGATATATTTACAGTGCCTCATGTTTAAGCAGTATTAGTACATATTTACTGATTTCCACATCTTTCAGATTAAGTTCATCTAACATGTAGATTAATCCACAATTTCATTACCCTTTCTCCATCATATTATGGTTATTCTATATCTGTGATAGCAAAACATTGAGACATAACAAAACCTACTTCCTCTTTTTCATGTCATAATCCCCTATAATGTGTACCATATGAACCAGACAGGAAAATAGGAGGAGTGCACCCAGTGCCTATATTTTTCCAGATGGAAGTACTGGCACTTCAGTTAATTCTCTAAAAAGTACTAATATGCACAAACTACCTGCAAAGTTTTGCTAATCTTGTATGCTAGCTTATGTGATGGCATAGTTTTGTCAGACTCAAATGATTCAGTTCTATAAATTATCACAAATCCAATATTGGTACGTTTTAATCTTTCAAATGAAAATTCAGAGTTGGTAAGTGTCTTTAGGTTATAATTTATAATCAGCTACTTTTTCTCCAGAAACATTGCTAGGTGTTCCCTCATCCTGATGATAACAGGTTATATTGTACACAGAAATCTCCATGTATCTCCAAAATGGTAATAGAAAAATTGTTTCTTTAATATATTTGCAAATATACATATATATCAAGAGAAAGACTTATTTTAACTAAATACGTAAGATAGTGTCAAGACTAGTAAAAATAGGAGATTGTATGTGCATTGCATGTGTTCCTTTGAAATTTGATTTCTCTCCCTGAAAATCCAGTAAAAGTAGCTGGAAAACACTTTTCCAGCTATTGTCTCATTCATCTCTTTCTCCCACTTTAGCACACCAGGTATATGGCCTGGTTCGGTCATGCCTTTGAATTTCACACTTCTTTCCTCAGTGGGAGGTTCTCACCTCAGAATGTTTGCAATTGGATGGACTTGAATTTTAGCACTATTCAGACGTCTGGAAAAGAAATCAAAAGCAGTTTATCTTGTATGGTTCAAAAACCTGTTGCCAAAAGTGGGAAGGCATGTTTTTCATTGCTCCAACAGAAATAATTCTAAATTGGCACAAAATGCAAAAGCACTTTTAGGTGTCATAATTGAAATGCATCAGAAACATTAAGAGCTAATTACAAAGCACCCCACATTCATTTCATTGAAAATATAAGAATACCATGTTGGGGTCCAGAAACAGTAAGTGTTTATCCCTTAAGGGAAGGGCAGTTCTTTCTCCTGGTCTTGATGGTGACTGCCTTGCAGATGCTACTCTAGGTTCATGGTAGGCCAGCAGCCAAACAGCATGTGGTCAGGGCAGCCTCCAGTGATAGCTGGCCACTGCACTAAGGGAGAAAATTGTTTGGCCACCTCAGGACAAGGAGTAGGCCAGGATATAACCCTAGTTGTAGGAAGAGGAAATTCCCAAGAAGTGGCAGTAATATTTGCTCTGTTTTTAAACATATCCAAGGCTCTTTCAAATTGAGTTTAAAAATCACTATAGAAAATTCCTTCAAAACAGGAAGAAAAGCTGGAGGAACATTATTCACTTGGGGATAATTCCTTCTGTTTTTTCTTTCATTATTTTCTCATTTTGAGCGTGCTCACCAATTCACATTCTCTTGGCTAGTCTCCATTCTTCCCACTGTGGCTTCAGTGACAACTCTGCTTAATTTGCTGTAATACACTCTCACATTCTTACCCTTCTTCTCTCAGCCATATTGTATAGTCTTACTGTCCTTCGCATTTGCAAAATTTTACCCTTAGCTTTGAAAACCCTGGTATTACTAGTCTTAGTCTTTCTACTGCTCAGCACTCATTTCTTCCCAGATTTTGCTTTGGTCTTGGTTTTCATGTATGGCTATCAAAATAATGGCCATTGGTGGGATGTTTTAGTGCCAGGCATGTTTTATCACATTTTAGTACCAGTCACTGTGAAGTACACAGGCACTTACAAATAACAAGTTATTTTGTATTTAGGTAATAATGAACTATTGTAATTCTCATTTTACGGGAAGGGTAACTGAAACTTAGTAATTCATTTGCTTTTACACACACAGAAGGAAAACACATTCCATTTATCTACATGTATAACTTCTATATGTACTAGGTGAGAGGTCACACTCCCTCCACAGAAATTTCTTAAGGGGGTTTACCAAAGAATAAGGGCATAGTACCTGGCCGACAAAGGTGATTTTTCTTTAAACTCTTTGGGAGACAACACAATAGCAGTATTTTATAAAGTGGTCTGTTGGGTGCAGACTGACTGCTACAATAAGGAGACAGCAATCACAAGGGAAGGGAAGTTAAACTACAGGAGGACTTCCAGACCTGGCATAAAGAGATAGGAATAATCATCTTTTTGAAAACAAACACAACCTTTAAGGAGCCCTATGCATTCTCACTAAAATAATACAAAAATCTTACTTCAAGAACTATTTGAAACAGAAGTTAGTTTTTAGGGCTGAACACTTAAGGAGCTAATGACTTGTATTTTTGCGCTTTGTAGATGACTAAAGCCAGCCAACACTTGCAAGGTATGTGTGTAACGGTGGTGCTGGGCTTACTCCTCTTAAGAGTAGGGTATTTCTACAAAAGTATAGAATTGTTTATCAGATGGTAAGAACTGGACATAGGCCTGTTCAAAATGGCAGCTTCAAGCACCTTTGGATTACTACTGATGGAATATACCAATGGGAAAGTAAAGAAGGAGGAAGAATATAGTTATGTGAATAAATGAAGGTTAGAATATACTTTTTAGATCTTGCCCAAATGTATTCATTCCACTTGCTTGTTTTTATGTTATTTGGAATTGGCCAGCACTTTACAACTGCTGGCATTTGTAATTTTAGCACCTTCTAGTATTTTCTAGAATAGCGCCTTTCAAAGGTTTTGACTACAGTAAGACATTTTTTACAACCATTTAATATGTGTATCTGATATTTTTCATTCTAGTTTTTTTCATTGAAAAAATGCTGACTAGGGTCAGGGAGCTATTATAGCTCAAGGATAGAGCACTTGCCTAGCATGTATGAGCTTGTGGGTTGTATACACAATTCTTAAAAAAAAGTTGGGTATGAATCATTAAATATTTTTCAAAACCTGTAATATTTAAGAGGCCCTGGAATCTACTTTTGCCTCCTGTATCTTTGATATTTTCATTTCTTCTCTTTGCTACCTCCCTCTCCAGATGCAGCAGAGCGGAATGCTTTTATGTTGCTGAGGCCATTACAGTGGCAATTTCACTTTAAAACTTGGAGTGTATCTAAAGGCTTATCAGCCTTGTGTGGCCTCATTTACTAAGTTATTTCTTCTATCTGGTGCCCTCAATTTCTTTTTTTTTCCCCTCCCATTTCTCCTTGAGAGCCCAGTTTTCATCCTAAAATAATGAACTATTGAAAAAATTTTTTGAAATCATTACTAGTTTCTACTTATGGGAAATAACTGAAGTGGAATTTCTACTCTCTTTGCCAACACAACTGGCTAAGTTGTTGAAAATTTAATGTTTATAAAATAATTTACTGAAATGGAACATGAGAAGTACAAATATGCTTTCATGGACACATTTCTTAAAGCATATTGTTTTTATTAAAAATAGTATATAAAATACCTTGGAATCCAAATTAAGAAAAAATTATTGTAAGGAAGGTTATTCGAAAAAAATTTATTAGAATTTATTAGAATTATATATCTAGTTTGATGCAGACAGTTTATTCAGGCTTGGAGGCCTCAATGTGTTCCTCCCAAGTTTTCCACCATTAACAGGCCAAAGCGATTGCTTCCGTCATACCAGCACCCAGTGTCTGAGGTGATTTCCCCACAGTTATTTGACCAACTGGTACCCTTTTTCTTCTGTCTTTTTTTCCTTGTATTTGATTTACCCTTTGGTAGGAATAATTCAGCTGGAGCATATGACCTCGTGGCATTAAACAGATTTTCATAAAGTTGCTTAGCCTCAGGACATGTGTTCAGGAGGCCTTCTACAGAAGTTGATGCTAGCAGTTGTCGGCATAGTCCATGCACAAGGCTTCCATTATATAGTCTATTCAGTGGGAGAAAAAAATGTGGTTTTAGGGAGAAAGTGTTCAGTGCAGCAGGACAACTATACTTAATATGGCTTCAAAAAATTTATCTGAACACTGAGCACTCATTCCTATAAAATTATTAAAATTAATAATCTGTTCCTTGTTGGAAGAATCTGAGCAATTAATATGATTACTTCTTACCTGATAATTAAGTTATCAAATTAAATGATATTTACTGGTTTTACAACTAGCCTCAAGTTGAGTAGGCTCAAGTTGAGTAGGCCTCTTTAATTCTTCAAAGAAAAGGAATTTAAGATGATGTCGATAAACCAAACAGGCAGTTTTGTTAAAGTACTAGAAAACTGTACTGGCATTATTTGCAAGATCATTCACTTCAACTAAAAACAAAAGAAGATGGATTCACTAGAATACCTAAATTTAGTACATATGACTTATAGCAGAGCTGTTCATCTCATGCCTTAGCAATCAGTGCCAACACATCGTTTAATCAATGTAAAATCAGTGTTTAAAAAGGCTTGACTTTGCTGAGATGCAAGAACAATCCTTCCTGCCAAAAACATTAAGAGGAATGTCTGGACTTGCTTTTCCAGTTGTTGGGAAAGGATTTGTAGTAGCTGTGGAGGATCTAGTCAAGAGTAAGCTAAATTATTAAAGGAAAGGAATAAAGAATTCATAGGTCAAAGGCCAATTAATCCCCCACCCCCTTTTATTTGGCAGAAGGGTTTGGAGTTAATTGAGAAGCTTTTTTACCTTGAAACATACTCAGTCACGCCATGATATTTTGTGATCCTTTCCTATATTATGATTCATTCCCAGTATGCTAGGTACAGTAATATTCAAGTCTGCCCTCTTACAGCTTATATTTGGATAGAAAGAGATAAAGTATACATATAACCTAAAATACTCCATTTTCTATCCATCACCTTTTCATCATCTGTCCTGGCATCTCTTGGATGAACAATTAGCAAAATGTCCAATCCACTGATCCTATCCCTTGTTCAAGGACCCATGCTGCTCTCATTTCTGTCTTACTCCGCTTAAACTCCAGGGTCAAGCATAATAATCACTCCCTGGTGTAGAGGTTCAACTTCTTCATATTTGTGTGGCAAGATAAAAATGCCAGATAAAGTCTAATAGTTATTTCACTAGAATAAAAGCTCCATGAGAGGACTTTGTTACTGTCGTTTACTATACTCTAGCACAAAGTAGGCATTTAATAAATATTTGAATGAATTAGTATTTGAGCATTTAATATTCAAATGAGTAAGTGGTAAGAAATGGAATAAAAATAATGCAACAGAGTAACAAGATTATAGAGTACTGGGGGTAGAGAGTAATATTTCAGTAGGCAGATCAGAAAAGGCCTCTATAAAGTAATACTTTAAAAACCCACTTGAAGGAAGTAAAGAAATGAGTTATAGCCTAGCAACAACTGCCCCCTTTCTCCTGATTTTTAAAAAACTGGAATTTATTGTGGAAACATACCTCAGGAATATAGAAACAATATTTTTCCTGTTTTCAGCTCTTCAGATGTAGCAGTGATTTAAGATCAATTTACATAGATGTTTTAAAGTAACGATTTGTTTTAAATATGAATAAGACTATTCACTGTGTGTTATCATCTGAACTAAAGTTTTCCATAATGCTTACCGAGTTAGGTCTGGCTCTGGGAGAGGAGTGGACAGCAGCTGATTGAGATACATCCCCATCTGGAGACAGCACTGCCACTGACAGAAGATGTGAGCCGTGTCTAAATCCAAACTCAGGCCCTGGCGTGGTGGCTCCTTCTCCCTCTGGAAGTCTTCATACAACATCTTAGCACCACCTTCCCGCAGATCTTCCTTATCTAGACAAAGAACCCAAGGGCAGCATTTCCCAAAACACAGCATCATCTTACCATTTTTTCCAAACATAAGACTTGAGATTCCACAAAGAAGAAAATTAGTCTAAGAAACTAATTGTTTTTCTCTTCTGGTTTCATACATACCTTGCTTTGTAAGTTGAAATATTTATATTGAAGTACCTTCTTAATGGTAACCTGGTTTTATTCAACTCCCTACTTTTAATTTTTTCCTTGAAATAAGATCTCTTCCACTGCTGCACTACCTGGCCATAAAAGTGTGCATGTGAACTCTCTAAAATGTGTCTGAAAAATACAGATGACTGTTAAACATTCTTCTCTTTACTGGTTTCTTTCATAAAAAGCTCCGTAATATAGTGCACTTGCTTTAAAGAAACAGCTTGTGTGTTTATAGTGCAATTTTAATCTATTTTATGTGAGGAAGACTAAAGTCTGACTCACAATCTCAGAATCTGACAAATAATCAGCTTCTTCACCTAGAAGATAAAGGGCTAGAAACAACCACCTTAGGAAATAGTGAATGTTATGTATGTTTAGATGTGAATTTCTGCAGGTTTAAGCAGAGGCACACAAAATAACATCTGGACCAACTTGAAAGTAATAAAAAGGAGGCCCACCTTTCACCAACTAGCAAGCAGCAAGGCACTGAGCCTGCTTGGGTGTGGACTCTGTATTTCCTAAAAGAAAAGAAACAGACCCTTGACATGTCCCTTCTGTAGGACTGAGGTAAAACGTTAACAGCTCATGCTCTGAGAGTTTCCCTCTACTTATTCAGAGAGGAAATGCCCTCAGCCTGTGTTTCTAAGGCAGGAGTGGGCCTTAATTGTTTCTTGTCTGTCATTCACCCACAATCCCTCTGAAGGCTGCTGTCACATGTAAGCCTTAATACTTGGAGTGTTTTTGGGTCCATGCTATTTTGTTCTTTTATTATTTTTAAAAGTAAACTATACTCCAGCACCACAAAAAAGGTAAATATTCTATATCTGTATTGTTCAACCCAGTATGCTGTATCCACATGTGGCTGCAAAGCACTTGAAACATGATTAGTGTGACTGAGAAGCTGGAGTTTAACTTGATTGTAACTTGAAGTAGCTACATGTGGCTACCAGCTACTATATAACACTGTTGTAAAGCATGACGATTTCATACTGGTATAGATTGTATTACACCATTCATAATCTTAAAGGTCATGAGGCATTAAAGAGCTAAAGTGTTCCAATGCTTCAACATTTATTTCACCTGATATTTAAATGCCTATAAAATTCCCTTAATATATTCCTCCAGTAGAAGTTTTTCTATCCTTATATACTAATTAAAACTTACAGTCCAAAAATAGTATGGTTTTTTTTAAAAGCACAAGCATGAGTAAGTTTGTTGTGGTTGCAGATAACCAAAAGTTTTACTTCTGAGCAATTTTAAATAATTTTCCTTATGAATGACAGGGTAGGGAGCATGGGATACAAAATGCAACTGGCAAAGACACCCTGTCACGCCACACATATTAAAGTAACAGGTGCCACAGAGCAAATGGGATTGGGCAGTATCAGTACATCTCAGCTGTTTACTTGGAGTCAAGCACTCTGGGACTAAGTGTTAAAAAAATATTTTCCAATGAGTGAAAGACATTTTGGCACCTCTACTTATAATTTCTCATGTAACTGATGGGGGTAAGTAATTGAGGTATTTTTGTTTATTTGTGTCAACTCTTAAAGATACATAGTTTGTAAACAATATACAAAAACATAGTTGTTGAATTTCTGAAATACCTACCAGAGCTGTTGATCATGGCATGCAAAGGCCCCATCAGCATCCCCAGCAGTAGAGCTTGCAGATGATAGAGCTTTGCCTTGGTTTCTGTGTGCTGCAACCAGTAGCAACTGACAGCAATGGGCAACTTCAAAGAAGGTGGGATTGGCTCCAGAATAGTCTGTTTCACCTTCAGAGTTTCTAACAGAAGCATCTGCCGCCTAACCAAGGAGAGCTGAAAATACCAGACATCCTGAAAATTACTTTAGGAATATCTTTTTTTTTAATAGCATGAAGATAATAGTTGTGAAACTTACCTTTCTATGGAAAAAACGTTAGCACCCAGTGTTTAGAACATTAATAATGGTGCACAATAAATATGGTTGGTGAAAGTGAGCATGATCTACTCCTGCTAAACAGCCTTCTGTCACTGAATCCTGTTGGTCTAGGCTGCTAAGGATATTTAGTATACTTATCACATGGGAGCCTGTCAGAAATTGAGTCCTCAGGTCTTACTGCTAAGCTTTGCTTCAGTAATCTGAGGAGCCCAAGAATCTACATTTTTCAGTAGCAGCCCAAGCATTCTACTCAAGGCTGCTCTTACTTGCTAGTGAGTATTTAGGGACCCACCTTTTCTATGATGCCATCAGTAATCACCCTCCGAAGACAAACCACCTTAATGTGTTCCTTTGTGGCATGTCATATAGCTGTATCATATATGTTGGGTCCTGTACTTTTCCTGCTGAATGTTTTAATGGCTTTACTTTCTCCTCACAGGGACTGTGATAGGGTGATTACTAATAGGTTAGGGGCATAGTCAAGGGAGATGGGAATATTTAAGGACTACCTGCACTGTGCTTGCAGTAACTCATGCATACTTAGTTTTTCTTCATTCTTTGGAGTGCACTTCAAGCTCAGAAGGAAATGGCCAAAAAGAGCTGTAAGCTTCTTTATGAAGTCATTTTACTTTAATGAACCTCAAGACTTTGAGAACCTTATGGATCTCATAAGTCACTCTCACAGGAAAGGACATTAAGACTACTGAAAGGGTACCTACAGGGCAACTTTATAATCAAACTTCGAAAAAATATTAATATTCCTAGTGTCTGCCAGAATCTGGTCCATTTCTTAGCACCTAACAGTGAGTGGAAAGAGTGGTTGACAGCTGAGAATAGAAATGTTAACTGAAATAAAACATATTTGACAAGTTTCATCATCAATGCACACGGCCTCTGATTAGCACAATGATTTAAAATAGTGTTTTTGGTAATTTAATACTGAAAAAATTGTTAAAATTAGAAATACGCAAAGTGCTTTACAGAATAACAAGTAGTGCAAGTAGCATTAACTACTTAAAAATGAATCTCCTAAACTATTTTTAAAAGTCCAAAATACATTCTTTTCTGTCATATAACACTTAAATTATTGACTTCTCAAGTCAAGTCACAACTTTATGAACAAAGCAAAGTCTAAACTTTCACTTCAGAGATGTTCTGCTCTCTCCGAACTCTGAGCTGTGGGCAAGTTTCTGAGCTTATCTACACCTGTCTGATGGTCTGTAAAATGAGCAGTAGAAGATTCACTTAACTCACCAGTCCTCACTGCCTTCCCACAGAGGAACTAGTCTGCCTATAGCCCTTAGGGTTTGTTCGGTTTTTTATGTGACAACTCTTTTCCCTCAGGGGGAATAAAAGTCCTGCAGAAGAAACTGGCACACAGGCAAAAACACCCAGAAGAGGCTGGTCCTGAGTACTGCCTCACACACCAGGAATGATCCGATTCCATGTCTCCTTGTGATTAACCTTGTGCTTGGTTGTTAACCTGAGTAATATTCTCTCCCCTGCCACTAATAACCAAAATGACACTATAGGATGAGATTTCTGTGGGATGTGAAATTCTGTCTCAAGAGCTGGCACAAAAGCAGATGAAGTATTATTTAAAAAACAATAAAACAAATAGCTATGATTACAAGTTTCTATACATTTCTTGTACTGTACTTGCATTTGTAGTTGGAATCACATTTGAACTTACATCCTGTTTAGAATGATTTTGGGCTAAGTAGGGCCATAAGCACTGAACTGAATGCAGAATTGATTCAGTGATGGTGAACCTTTTATTAGAGACCGTGCCAAACTGTAACCCAAAACCCACTTAATACAAAGTGCCAACACTATAATTAAGCCTGAATACTGAGGTTTTAGTTTAGAAAAACAACTCTACATTAACATTTTTTGTCTTAAAACAGTAATGTGTGCTATAGGTTCACCCCCACTGGATTAGTTCATCCCAAGGGAAAGCCAAATGATAACAGCACAGAGAGAACTAAAATTTCACTCTACTTTGAATACAGGTAAATGATGAGAACACTTGAGTCATCTTCGCTTAGTAAAGAATATAATCAGCATCCTACACTTCAGTGATTCACTTGGATTTCCATATGGAGGAAAAGTGTCACAATCCCTTTTTCATACCATACACACAAAGAATCAATTCTGGATATAGATTTAAATGTGAAAGGCAAGAAACCATTTTCATGATCTTGGAGTAGGCAATAATTTCTTTAGTACGTCACAAAAGTAACCATAAATAATAAAAATTTAAATTTTTTTAAGAACTGTTAATCAAACTAGTAGAGTGAAAGAATGGGAGGGTCTACCCACGATAATGTTATTTAACAGGATCAGATTGGAAAACTAGGAAAATGAGCAAAAACTTTTGAATACAAATGACACAAATAGCTAATGAACATATAAAAAGGTGCTCAGAGAAATACAAATTGTGTGGTAAAATGATACTAGGCATCCACCAGAATAGCTAATATTTTTTAAAAGGCTAGAAAATACCAAGTACTGGGATGGGTATAAGGGGAGAGGTACTCATGTGCTGCTGGTGTAAATATTAATTGGTGGACCCACTTTTCAAGGCCACTGGCAGTGTCTTATAAGCTATGACCCAGCAACTGACTCAGCAATTCTACTAGTATTTATATATGTACCATTATATGTGGACACAAAAGGAATGTGTCCCTATGTCCACTACATGACGAGGACTAGAATGTTCATGGCACATTTATGTCAGTTGTGATACAGCATGTTTACAGCAATGAGAAATGAAGGATCTACAGCTACTCACAGCAGTATGAAGGAATCTCACACATAGGTTGAATAAAAGCCAGATAAAAGAATTCCTTTATAAAATACTGTAAGTCTGTATTGTTACAAGGTCAGGAGAGTAAATTACAGGAGGTGGAAAAAAGGGGTGACTGGAGCCAGACACTAGGGAAAGCTTCTGGGGTGGTAGTGACTCATCTGGCAGCTCTGCATGGATGTAATGAGTTTGTGAGAATTCAAGTTGGACAATTACCTGAGCACTTTGCTTATATATATATAATCAGGGGGGGATGAACTGCCAAGGAAACTCTTAGATGTGATGGATTCATGTATACAAACGTGAAAACCCATCACAGTACACTGTGCACTTCCTTGTACATTATTTCTCAGTAAAGCCATAAGTTTTCTTTTAAAACTTCCAACAGTATCACTTCATTTTTTTTTTTTTTGGTACCAGGGATCGAACTTGGGACCTTGTGCTTGTGCGGCAGGCGGCGGAACCACTGAGCTAAATCCCCAGCCCTCCAACAGTATCACTTATGTTTGAGTAGAAATAAAATTTGAATTCTGAAATATAATTTGAATTTATTGGTGTGGGTTAAGTTTTAATCACTTGTTTGAGAATCTGATCAATGTTCAACCCCTGAAAATGTGAGAAAAGTAGGTTGCAGCTGTGTTAAGCAAGATAAAAATGACTCCTGTGAAACTGTTATCTGTACTTGAACCATAAACTAATTCTAGATACCTAATGTGGGCACTGTGTCTTGGGGCATGGACCTCAGATGCTGTCTATGGAATTGTTATAAGAGATAGTAGATCCAATGAAGAAAGGAGGATCTTAAGCCAGTGAGATTTTCTTTCTTCTATTCTTTAACTTAGATATAATTCACATATCGTTGTATTTCCTCATTGAAAGTGTGTAATTCAGTGATGTTAGTATATTTTTAAGAATGTACAATCATCATTAATTCCAGAACCATTTCATCACTCACAAAAGAAAGTCCTGTTCCTATTAGCAGTCATTCCCCAATGCCATGGAGGCTCTTGGACCCACTTACTATGAATCTCGTTTTCTCTTGCTTGAGGTATCACTAATGGGAAGGCTCAATAAATAGCATAGTCCCTGGTTATCTGCACGAGCCAGAGACTGACACAATGGACATTTTAGGCCAGGTAGTTCTTTGGTATGGGGGGCAGTTCTGTGCCTTGTAAGATGTTTTGCAGCATCTTTGGCCTCCCCCTAATAGATGGCAGCAGCAGCCAGCATCTTAACACTCCCCAGAAGTGAAAATCAAAAATATCTCCAAGCACTGACAAATGTCCCCTGGGGGACAAAGATGCAGAAGACAGGAAAGACTCCCACAGAAATGGAAGGTCTGACTCACACCCATTGGGAAGCTGTGGCTGCTGTTCCACACTCTCAAGGAGACTGGCACCAAGAGTGATCTTTGAGTCTGTGAGTCTAGATATTTAATTGGATCTATGAAAACTCAATGGGCATTGCACTTGGTTTTTTAAATTTATCTGCATTTAAACTAAGTTTAATTGTATTATCAGGATGAGCAATTTCATACTTGTTATTTTAATATATGTATGTAATATAAAAAGGAAAGGAAAAGAAATACTGGGATCCATGAGGACTTTTTCCCATGAAATGGGGATTGGTCTGAGTATTATTCAGGTTTGTGAAACACTGACTTAGTCTAAGAGTCACACTTTTTAGTATCAAACTAAACACATTACCATGATGGCACAAACTTAAAGCTCAAAAAATTCATTAATGAAAACATTAGACATAAACATCAATTCTAATCTTAACTGAAAGCTGATGTAGTCTGCAATGTTAGATATGCCTGTACAAAGTGCCTATATGTAGATTTTATTTTTGCAGTTCAGAAGTTTTTCCTTTTTCTTTTGTTTAGCCACATAATCCTAACCCTATTCTATTGACTGCAGGTATAAAAAGTAGTAATTACAAGACAAAGTACAGTGGAAATGGCAGATTTAGAGCTAAAAGTGCTAGGTTTAGGCCTTAGCACTGACACTGGCAAAAAAAAAAAAAAAAAAAAGACCTAGTTCACCTGAGTTCCAGTTTTCTTATCTATGAAATGAAGACAAGATAGCAACCAAGCTGGATTTGTTAGATTATGAGAATATGAAAGGACCTTATAACCTATAAAGTGATTTATAAAAATTTCATTATTACAAATCCTCACCTTGGTCAGTTTGGTCAAGTCAGTATAATCCTTGGGCAGTTCTACTGCATCAACAATGGATGTTTTGATATTTTTATTAATTCTTTCCACTTCACAGAAAGCTAGAGGCTGAGAAGGCAATGCATTTGGAGACATGTTTTCTGGATGTGACGAAGCATTCAAAAGAAGCCCATAAATGATCTGCCGGATAGGTTGAGCGACTCTGTGGGCATTTGGTCGCTGCATGTTCTCTACTTGAGTGTGAAGAATGGTCCGTCTTAGTACCAAAGCATCGCTTATGAATGGAGATAGCTGACCTTTGGCCAAAGCTACCAACACCCATTCTGGTAAACCCAGATTCATGGCAACTTGACAGATAAAAGTACCATCCTGGAAGAAGTTTTGTAGCTTCACCTGGGACTGCTGGTATTCCGCCATGGAGCAGCAGAGAAGTTCCTTAACATTTTCTCGATCCTTTTTTGGCAGATGTTTCAGAATATTATCTAGTGCTTCAGTAGGGTCAGGAAAATGAGACAACCAGTTCAGAAGTCTCAGAACTCGGTGATGTCTCCTCCCTTTAGAGCTAGTAGCTCTAAGAGGAGGGCATACTTTACTTAAGAATGTCTCCACTATAGGCAGATTAATATGATCATTTCCACATAGCACTGCAAAGAGAGGTACCAGAGCTTTGTTCATATTGCTGAAGTGATGGCAGAAGGCATCAAGAGAAAAGCATTTGGCGGGAATATAGTAGTTTTTTGTCCCTTTAATAGCGTTCATATTTCTCCACTGAAAGCTATTCAATGGGCAAAACCCAGTTTTCAAATCAAAAATGCAGAAGTCACTATCTGATGATAAAACAGGGCAATTCCAGTGATTGGCAAGTGTCATAATGTCCTGATCTGCTTCTGAAAAGCACTGGACAAAACATACCTGCAGTTTGATCAAAATCTGTATGAACACTTCCCGGATGAGTAAGGGACACACATACCCACCTCCACCAACAGAAAGAGAATGGGCCATCTGGATCTTCTCTCTAGCTCGATCCTTTAAAGTTGTAAGCTTTTTGTCAGAAATGTCACATCCTCCATCTAGTACAACATATGGACATATATTACAAGCAAACAGTGACTCAAAAAATTTTTGTACAACATCTGCAAAAGAATCATAATCTCCTCCATAACGGAGCTCCAAGTTTGAATTGAAGCAAAGTCGGTGGAAAAGAGCGTAGCCATCTATGACAATTTTTGTGTCCCGCAACTTCAAATCAGTGAAGAACTCATTACTATGATCTTCCACAAAACTCATTAGTCCTCGGATACCCATGATGACAGACTGAAGAACTGTTTAAAAGAGTAGAACACATTTCAGTTACTGCTAAATACAGAAGCACCTGTTCATTGCTTCTAGCACCATTAAATCAATAGCAAATGTTATGAAGTGCTCTTTAGGTAGAACATGTTGGGTGTCAAGAGCTCTGATTCTTACCTACATTCTCAGGCAACAGTAGCTGAGTGGTTTTTTAAATTCTCTTTTGTTTTCCCAGTAATATACAGAGTAAACAGTGGTTTCATGGGTTTTGATCTTTGGATAGAGATGAGGCTGCTGCTGATTCTAAAGAAAATTTAGTTAAAATGAGGTAAGGAACACCAGAATAGAAGTTCTGTGAATTTTGATACTGAGGTAAATCTGTAGTCACCACTTTACATCACTTTGTGGGGGCAAAGTAAAAAGTCCTAAGCTATAAAAGTACAGTTTATCCCTATCAATCTTTCAAAAATCAGAACACCTTTATTGGGCTTCAGTTAAAGTATGGAGAACCTGATACAGACTAAAGCTTTCTTTTTTATTGATGGAGTTTGGGAACTTGTTTCAGGTCCTGGGCTCCGCGCCTGCTTTTTAACTGGTATAGTCTATGCTGAGGAAAACTGCTTCCTCCCTTTAGGAACCCAACTACCCAGTTTCACCCCAGGGGGCCTCTTCATATTTCTGCATATCTGGCCCAATTATGCTCCTCCATCTGGATATCAATTCATAGGATTAGCATTACTCGTTTTTCTTTAGTCTCAAGTCTTTAATGTTGCACTGTTACTAAGTCCTGTCTTTATTTAAAACCGTGACATTTTGTCAACAATAGCTTTTTGCGTTTTAATTTTTAGGGACTCACCTCTCCAAAGTTCCGGCCCTGTCCGTATCTCTCGGCACCTCGGCCTGTACATTGCTGATTTATTTATAAGTCTGTCATGTAAGACTTCTGGGGACACACACCTCATTGATTTATCCTAAGCCAACCACAGGATCGTACACAGAGTAGCAACAAACGCGAGTTGGCCAGGTCGCACATGTGCAAAAGTTCTGATCTTAATTCCTCAAATTCAGGTGCTCATATACCCCGCCTCACTGGCCCTCATAGTCGTCACCTCGACCAGCAACACAGCCTACCTGCTCGGTCTTTCCAGAGGCACAACCCCTCCATCCGGAGCCCACGGAAGCCCAAAGAGAACCAACACCCTAGCACGTGAGCATTTACCCTAGAGCAGGAACCGGAATTCGTCGGGTCTCTGACGACACCGGGAAGCCGGGTTCTGTGACACTACGGGCGGACTGTTGTCCCGCTGGAAAGTGCTCTCAGGCTTGCAAGCGCGAGACTGCTAAAGAAAGTTGGGATTTAAATTCCGGAACGGTTTCGGTCTAGCCCAGAGCCCAGCCCTCCTTTTTTCCCCCGCCTACTTGGGTCAGGAGACACTTCCGCCCTAATGACTGCCTTGCCTCGACTTCCCAGAATGCCCCGCGCCGTTTCCTTGGCGACAATGCGAAACAACCTTGCCCGAGGTTGTCTGGAGCTGGGCGGGTCCCGCAGCCCCTAAATTGAAACCCACTGGGGTATTACGGGCGTGAGTTGGGCCTGGCCGGCGCTAACTGTCCTCCGCCTGCTGTGGGGAAAGGTAATGGGCATGGCTTTCCTCAGGGTGTGCCGGGCTCCCTCGCGTGGGAAAGGTAGTGGTTTCCAGTCGCCTCGGCCGGTGTCCGCACCTCTGGGCCTCCTGTCTTTTCGCTTCCCTGGACTCCTCCGACAAATGTGTCCGGTGCCCGTTATGTTAACCCGTTTTGAGAAAATGTGAATTTTTTGAAAGTTGAATAGAAAAGGAAATTGCTCGCTTTATCTTGAGGTCAAGGTTTACCTTTAAGGTTAGAGTCCTATTTTAGCAGAACCTTCGGTGACATCGGATTCATCTCGTTTATTACTGACAAAGAGAACCTTGGTGTTTAACTTGGGTGAACTTTCTCTTGTCTTTTCCCTCAGCGAGATTAGTTTTATTTCCCATGGACAGTGGGAATCCCCCTACCCTTATCTAAATTCCCGTTCAGCTTTCTTCCCCTTTTTTTCTCCTTGGGAGGCAGTCATATCTGTTGGATACTATTTGCCCTCACAGTGTTTACTGAACACCTAGTATCTGCCAGACCTTGTGCCAGGCACTGGGGATACAAAGGTAAGGAAGGGAGCATTGCCCACACTCTGGTTCATTCACCAGCTCTGATAGGTGAAGAATGTTGACAAGTGAAAACGTGACCCTAGAATCTTGGCAGCCGGTACAGTCTGCACAGAAGACACTAATGGCATGGATAGAGCAGGGGTGGGGGGAAGGGGGTGGCAAGAACCCGGTCCTAGAGTATTCTGCAGGCTGGTAGACACTGACGGATTTAAATACGCCGTTATAAATAGGAGCGGCTGCATTTGGACTTCACATAACTGTTCCGTGCTTCTCTAATTCTGACCTTCGCTGAACAAGGAACGTAATTCCCTCTCCAAAATAGAGAATTACTGAATGACCTGAAGGGCCCTTTTCATTTGAAGAGGCTTTGAGTCCATTTTTCCAAACAGCTTAATTTGGCCAGAAAGCATCATTTTTATGTCAATGAAAGAAGCAAACAAAAGGTACTTTAAGAAGCCTGTCCTCTAGTTTTTTGTTTTTGTTGTCTTTGTGTTGTTGTATTTTGAGAAAATTTGTGGTGATTTTGTGGCTGATTGACCTGGTGGTTTTGGTGGTTAAAAGATTTTACCATATAAAGCCATTTGACCATCATAAACAATAGTTTTAGTCTGTCTGCTTTGGAATTGCTAAATATTAAAACTTAACTCCAAAGCATAGTCTTCAGTTTAAATTCATATTTTCATATAGATTTAAAACACTTTATGATTATTTGCAAAACAGCTAACATTTTGGTAAAATAAAAGATTTTACTGTGTACCTCATATGAAATAATCATATTTTTCATAACGCTTACATTTCATAGCTTCATGAGGAAGTGCAGTTTTACCTATCATACATATTCATACACATTTAGCTGACATTAAAATACAATTTTAGGTTTGAACTGCATTTGTGTTACTTCAAACCCAGGAGCATTACTCTGTATCCAGGGGGTATAATAAAAATTTCAGAAGTAGATCAGAATTTGATTAGGATGGAAAAAATTTGCTCTGAATCCTTATCCCTCTTTACATCTATTTTAATAAATGTAGAAATTGTGATTTAAAGTCTACAGGAGGTCCTTAGGTCATGAGATATGCCCTTGAAGGGGATTATCACATCTTTTCCTCATTCAAGATCATGCGTTCTCACCCTGCCATATGTTCCTCACCATGACATGTTGCCTCCACACAGGTCCAAAAAAGTTCAGAGGAGACCTGGATCATGCTAATTTCTGGTTTAATTCTAACCCAGTGTTTGTGAACCAAAGCAAATCAAATGAACATGTAATTCTCCTAAAGGGTTGATGCAAGTGTACAGATCCAAGGATATGATAATGCTCTCGTATTTAGATTTTTTAAAAAATTGGTGGGGTGTATAAGTTTTAAACAGATTATTGATTATGAAACAGATACACATCCCAAAAGTTTGTGGAAATTTGGCTGTAAATCAGTTTTGATGAATTTGGATGGAATGATGGAATGTTGTCTTCCTGTGAAAGTCTACTTCTGGAATTTGAAGTATTTCTACCATTTCCCCCCTTCTCAAGTCATTAAAGCTAACCAGTATGATGTCATTTAGTCTTCTAATCAAGGTGCAGGTCTTACTGTCAAAGACTTAGACATTTTGTTAGGAGCCTTTGAACATCAATTAGATCTGACCTGTGGACTTTTCATGTTTTAGGCATTGACCAGTACTTCTTGGATGAATTTGACCATGGAGACTTGAATGTTAGGTTTCCATAAGTGAATAAATTGGTTCAATCCTGTTTGGAGCAATGTTGAAATTCCAAGAGGCTGCTAAGTGTGGAAGTGGATCAATAGCCATTTCCACTTCTCCACAGGCCTTGATTGCAAGAAGATATGTGCTTCAGCAGAAACTTGGCAGTGGAAGTTTTGGAACTGTCTATCTGGTTTCAGATAAGAAAGCCAGACAAGGAGAGGACTTGTAAGTAAAAATACTTCATACAAATATCAAGTTGGCTGCCCTGTATATACAGCTCTTAGTGGAGTAAGAGCGCAGAGTGATATACTCCTTGTCTTTGCATTAAAGTGAGAAGTTAGTAAAGATAAAAAAGTTCTTTCCTTGATCTCTTCATATAAGCCCCCCCTCCCTTGGGGATTAAACCCTGGGCCTCATGCTCTATCATTGGGCAACATGCCCAGCCTCAGGTAAGGTTTTTAAAGACATTTCAGCTGTGAAATGACTTTAACGACCTAAATCACCTAGAGACAGGAACTGGGGTAGAGTGTATGAAAATAGAAATTTTATGCATACCACAGTTTAAATTACAACGCTGCTGTCACTTGCCTTGAGTGGAAATTCTTGAATGAGAAATGAATTGTTCATAATAACATAACATTTTTAGAAATGTTATGAAATGCAAATAAACAGTAACTGACATTTGAGGTGAATAGGGTATACCAAAAGAAATATAATGTTAATTTTCCTTGGCTTTTATGGAAATTGTTTTCCAAAAATCTGTGGTTAGAAATCCTTCAAACTAGATATTTGGATCAAATGGAGATTTTCACTTAAAATTAGCTAATGTTGATTCCCAATCACCTCCTTTTCTTTAATTTTGATTGAACCCTATAAGTTCTCATTGTAGATAAAAATACCTCTTAATACTGTTGGATAGTACCTCTCTTACAGATAGGGATAAACTTTCACTTTTAGCTTAAAGTTTTTAAGATTTATTGTAATAAAATGTTAGCTGGAACTGAAGTTAGGATAAAAAAACTTGTACATCGGAAACAGGAGGAATAGAATGTAGAAGGAAGAATGATCCAAGAAATCAGCTCTGAGCCCCTGGAAGGCCAAATTTCCATCCCATATTGTTTTTTTATTGAGCAGCTTTTAGTTCTTCTAAATTTTTTCACCTTTTTCTCATTGTATCCTGTATTTAAGTATGGATTTAAATCAGTGTGATACTTTCTACTTCATATATCATAGTAATTAAAAGGTAAGTGTTACTGATGCTACTGTTTAAAAAATCAACCTTTTAAGAATCTCTGTGTCCAGAATTTTTAAGTGGTAATCATCTGGAATTGATAATTTTTAATCAATTCCTTCCTGATGAATGATGAAAGACCTAGCATTTTTCTGATGTTCTTAAAACAAACATTATGATTCCTACTGAAAAGGATTCTGCCCGCCCCCCGAAATAGTTGAGGTGCTCTTCTTACCATGTAGATAGAGCAAGATGATAAACTTCTGACAATTATTAGGGAATCTTCATGGAAACATTGAGAATAAGAACTAACTCTGATAGCGCTTGTAAAAATTCCACTGTATGATCATCTCCAATTTGGGCTTCTTCAACTAATGAGGAACATGAAAAGTTTTAGGAGAGTTCATAAGAGGGCTAAAAAGTTGATTAAAAGGCTGCAAAATAATATATATATATATATATATATATATATGAATTAAACTTGAAAGCTTCAGGTCTGAGATAGGTGAATACACAGTGTGTAGGTTAGGGTGCATCTGTCTGGAGATGGGGCAGGGGAGAAGTGAGGGGAAGGATCAAAGGAGGGATAAAAGAGGGTGGGGGCTGGTTGGTTGGTAAGTAATTTGTAAGTGAACTTTCTAGTCCCTGAACTAATCTTAAAACACATGACTTGAGCTGAAGGTGGTGGACAAATCCTAGTTTTGTGTGATACAATAGTGAGAATAATGGTTAAATTATTTGGCATCAGAAGATCTAGTCCAGAATATCTGGGAAAGGAATCATTTATTATTAGAATCTCTAAAACATATTACAAACAGGCCACATTCAGCCTTCTGATGTATTTTATCTGTCCTGCACGGTATTTCTCTTTAAATCTCACTTAAATTAGTTGCCAAAATTTTTAAATGGGCAGCTCTCAAAATTCAATATTTCATCTCTGCTAGAAAAGAAAGGCGGGTAACATTTGCCAGCATTGGTGCCTGTGTAGCCACAGGGAGCTAGAGCGGGGTAATGGCTACTCCCTGTAGACAAATTCTGTATTCTTCAGTTAGTCACATTTCTGCCTCTCTCCATGCCCCTTATACCCAATTGCATCATACCTTTCCACTATCTGCTGATCATTGAATCTCTTGGATCCCTTTGCTGAAATCAGGAAAAGAATGGATATAACTGCTCACTAAATCCTGGAATGCTAGAAGGAGGGAAGGACAGTGTCACCATTAAGCCCCTGGTTTTGGAGGTAAACAAGTCAAGAAGCAAAGGCAGACCTATTCTTTGCTTTTCCCTGTAGAATTCAACAAATACTTCAAAAAAATTTTACTGGTACATATTGCAGTACCAGACCTATTCTGAACTGTCTGGTTATCTAGCTTCCTAATCTGAGCTTTAGTTTTCTCATCTGTAAAATAAGTATAATACCTCAGAGGATTGTAATAAGGTTTAAATAAAATATCTACCTGTTTATATAAAATAGAGATATCACATTTCCTTACACATAATTGTCACTCAATAACAGCCAAGATTTATCTTAATTACTAACAAATCCAAATCACTTCAGTAATTAAAAGGATGCCTAATAAAAATTTAGCTAGTCACTCTCCAGTGACTGCAATTGGAACTGTCTGCAGAATGAAGTTTTCTTTTGCATTTCTGCTTTGTATGTTTGTTTCTCTTGAGATAGGGTCTCAACTGTGTAGTCCAGGCAGGCCTTGAACACATTGTGTAGCCCAGCTTGGCCTCGAATTCTTAAACCTTTCATCTCAGCCTCCCAAGTGCTGGGATTACAGGAATGACTTACCATGCCTGACTTGCATTTTGCTTTTAGAAGAGAAAATATCTCGCAAAGTAATCTGATTATTAGGCATATGGCTTAAAAACTTTTCCAAGGATATTTCTTGAGTTTATACACTTATTTTGTCTGCTCTTTTAAATCTCTGAGGCTGACCAAAAGAAATTTCAGAATGTGAAGAAGAATTCAGAATGTAAACCTTTTAGGTGTGTAAAATACCAACTCATTAGCAATTGTCATGTTTAATATTTGTGCAGAGGCAGGAAACTGAACTCATTACTTTTTAGCCTCCTGCCCCGAGTATTGATGACTCAACTTGCAGTCTGGGTGCATTGCACATTATTAGCAACACTCATTGTCCAAGCAATTTGGTTAGGAAAAGTTTTAAATTCTGCTTTACATATCACAAAATGGAATTAAAGGTGGGCAAAAGATGATAGCTAAAAGAGTTCTATAATGGTGTTTCTTTAGTAGGCCAGAGTAGTCCTGACACTCTTCATTGTTTTGGAGACATACTACATTTTGAGTTAGTAAGGAAGGTATGTGATCCCTTTACATGTCAGACTATCCTTTGCTGTCACTGTTAAAGAGGTTGATTGGAGTAGACAGCCAGAGCTGAGCTGTAGGGCACTTACTGCCAGCTCCTATGAAATATAGGTTCATACAACAGATGATTCTAGCTTAATCAACGAACTCGACAAAATGAGAAGAGCTGTATATGCGTACAAGGTGCTGCTCGTTTATCAGAATATTGTAGTTTCTCATTATACCACTTGGGGGCACCACTCTATCGTTGACATTTTGTGTATACTGTGAACTTTAATTACAATGTAAATACTACATTCCTTTAAATTTTTATTGACTTCTGGATTAGCTACGGGATAAAAATAAAAGCTACAGACATTACACTTGATTAGTACAGTACATGTTTGAAGAGCATTTTCTTTTGGTGTAAATGTCTGCTATTCCTTTTTTAGTTATCTCAGTAAGATAAAACTAAACTTAAATTGAGAAGTGAATGAAATAGAGGCATTTCCTTCATTAGATTATACATCATAAAATTTATAAAACAGTTTTGAAGAATATTTTTCTTTCATAATTATACTTTGGTCTCGTGGGTGTAATTATGTTGTCATATTCCTAAAAAGATTGTTTTAGTTCTAGTTCATAATTTCATGTTTTATTTTGTTAAGCTGTCAAAGTATTTTCTTTTTAGCAAACCCAAAAGATTTTCCAGCTGACACATAAAAGTTGTACATATTCATGGGATACTAAGTGATGTTTTGATATATGTGTATGTTGTATAATGTTCTAAAAGAGTAAGCATATCTAATTCCTCAAATAGTATTATTTTTGTGGGAAAAAGATTAAAATCATTTCTTTTAGCTTTTTGGAAATACACACTACATTATTATTATCTATAGTCACCTTACTGTAAAATAGAACACCAGAATTTATTTCTTCTATTTAACTGTAACTTAGTACCAACTAACCTACCATTTCCACATTGTCTCCAGCCTCTGGTAACCACTATCCTACTCTCATTTCTTCACTTCTGTGAGATCAACTTGTTTAGATTTCACTAATGAGTGAGGTCATATGGTATTTGTCTTTCTGTGCCTGGCTTATTTCACTTAATATAAAGTCTGCCACTTCCATCTATATTGTTGTAATGACAGGATTGCGTACTTTTCACAGCTGTATTAGTCAGTGCTTACTAGAGTCAGATGTAGAAGAGTGCAGATGTCTATCTGCATACTGGAGACCCCAAGAATCCAGTCAAGGGCTTGGAGCCCACGGCATTGTCCCTGCAAGTCCGTATCAAGGATCTGCATTAGAAAGGCCCAAGGGCCAGTGGTGGAAGCTAGAAAGTCTGTGCTGGCAGTGTGAAGGGTCTGTGCCAGGAGGCTGAGAGATCTGTGCTGGAAGCCAGAAGACACGTCCAAGATGAAGATGAGGATCAAAGCTCTCTTGAAGGAAGACAGCAGCCAAAACTCCTTTGAAGAAAAACTGCCAAAAAGTAGCTTCTTCAGGGAAATCAGCAGCATGCAATCTTCCCCTCTGGGTCTCTTTTTATGCCATTCCAGCAACAATCCTCACTTGGATCTTCCATGCCCAGAACTGCGCTGACACACTTCAGCTGTGTGTTCCCACTCAAGTTGACCATTAATTAGTCCACCACAATGGCTGAGCAGCATTCCATTC